ATGTTTCATATCAGCTGTGTTTCCTATCTGGTGTTTCATATCAGCTGTGTTTCATATCTGGTGTGCTTACCACATTACCAATCATTCTATGGATATTTTCCATAGTATGTGTAAATACAAAAATTGCTGACATGTTATGTCCCAATTTTCGAAAGTTTCAGATAATATAGATATTATCATGTTTAAACAGTAACCTGCTACATGGATAGTGAAGATATGATAAAAGACAGTGAAACATGACCTGGCAGAAAATAGATGCAAATTTGTTCCCTTTAATCCCAACCTGCACGACCCATCAAAATAGATACCAGGATTTAAGAAGCCCCAAAAATTATTTCAAACTGGACATTCCCTCAAATAACCATGCCAGCTGCACTAGGATATTATGCTCATAGAAGAACTACTTAGATGTATCAGTATGCATTTACCCAACTAATTTTGGTGATATTGTTCGTAAAAGTGATGTACCAAGTACTTGATGGAAAGCTCTCAGTGATTATTTCCCTTTCTCTGTCGCGTTCTTAGTTGTGAGTAAACAAATGGACATTTGAAACTGGATTTTGCAATCTCTTTGGAAAGTTTTTGGAAAGACATTTTTCCACAATACAGGGCATGCATTCAGTGAAGACAACTGCCTTGAATTAAGTGACAAAATCTGGGCAAATCGCTCTAAAATTGGTGCTTTAAATGCTGTTGACTCGCACACTATGAAAGTGAGTGAGTGAGTGAGTTTGGTTTTACGCTGCAATATTTACATTTAGTACTAGCGACTTAATGTTTTTATTGCAGGTATATCATCTTATGTTTACAGTTTTACTTATTTCTATTTCCTGTTGCGTCATTGCACGCGCGTGTCCTCGGAAGTTATGTAACCATCTCGTGGTGACGTCATCACTGCTTTTTCAATTTAGTAAATCACTCCACATGATAAATGGAGACAATACATGATCCTGTTATGTGTCAGTATGTGGTATGTAATCATTGTTAAACAGAAAGGGCAGAAAGTGGCTGTGGTTACCCCATCATCTGTTCATGGTTCATGGAGTGAGTAAGTGAGTGAGTGAATTGGGTTTAATGCTGCTTTTAACAGTAGTCCAGTTATATCACTGTGTGTCAGCTTAATGTGGGAGGAAAGCCTGAAGTGATGCTTCAGACGTTTACCACTTCAGTGAAACCCACGAGCACAGGTATGGTGCTGACAAACCTAGAAACATAATCGGGGCGAACCCGGATTCGAACCTACAATCATAGGTTTCTGGCGTGCCCAAGGGTTGCAACTCTGCACAGCGTATCGCGTCACCTTAGACGACTGGGCCATCCGTGCCCCTTCAGGGGTATGGAGCAACAGATTAGAAAAGTGTGTAGGATACAGGTCAGCGGGCAATGTGTACAGTGGGATTTACAGCATGTTCTACATATCCAATTGACTACAATCATAAAATATCTTATAAATCTGTATACCAATCTCATCCTTAATCATGTACCTCCAAAATTTGTATAAGGATTCAATATTAAAAACATAAACTGGAGGGGATTTCGTTGGGGTCGACTATACCGGTTCATCTTTTCATTCTTGAGTTCATTTTCTTTAAATGAACGATATGTACTTAGATGGTTAGGGGTTGGTCTGGTAATTGTAAAAATGTAAATTGCAATTTGGCACCCCCAGTTGTAATGTATAGTCAAAATGATACAAAATGGTTAACAGACGAAGGGATGCAGTCACATTTGGCAGAATGGTGTTCAGAATCACTTGCTCCATGCTGTTGCCGTCTTGCTTGCTGGCCAGCTAGATAGGAGCTCTGGGGTTGTGATGGGTGTGTCCCTCTTACACAGCATCATAAACACAGTATAGGGTTCCAGTACACCCATGTTTACATGTGGAACAGGGTTTGCAGAATGTAGCCTGACACACAATCTTGTCTGATTCATTTGTGTTGCATTGCTGCTGACTGAATGATATGTTTATTAATAGAAAGCATAATGAATCACTTTATTTACTTATTGTTGGGAAGCTTTATTTGGTTTGGACACTTATAGTACAATACACAAGAAATACATTGCTATACTTGGATAGAGTATAGATTTGAAAATTATTATTTTTTGGGTACTATTTTGATCTTTCATGTATTGTTGTTAAGAATGCAGATTTAACACAATTATTGGACAAAAACTTTTTCAAATATTGTAGAATCTTACACTTAGTAACATTAACCTGATGATGATCCTCATCCTCATCATTATCCCCCTCTTCCTCCTCCTCCTCCTCCTCCTCCTCCTCCTCCTCATTTCTACACAAACATATGTTTGATGCAGATTATATTCTTCTTGGTCACATCACATGATTATCTCATCCCATTACACTGATGGGTGAAAAAAAGAACATTTCAATTCATAATTTACAAATGAAACAAATTAATGTTTCCTGAAGAGGGGCTTGTTTTATCAGTGGCCTGACATTATTACATGGTTGAACATCTACAAGGGCATCTGAGGTGATGGCGTTAATGGCATTACCACATGGCCAGGTGGTGATGAGCCAGCAGACCAGATGGTGGCTGGCTTTAATGCCTTCTTCAAGTAATTGAATTAAGTCTAGGAAAAGCAGCATGCATTCTACTAATAGATCCCATGAGTTTGTATATGTATTTAATTAGGAAGAATTTTGTTCCAATATCCTATCAAGTTTTATGAAACCTATTGTATCTAAGGGATAAAGAAGAAAAAGACCTAGGAGGGAATCATGGAGGGACTCCTGAATTGGTCTTCACATGCTTGCCGTAAGAGGTGACTAATGGGATCGGGTGGTCCGACTCGCTGACTTGGTTGATGCATGTCTGATGTCATCCACTGGATTGTCTGGTCTAGACTCAATTATTTACAGAACGCCATCATATAGCTGTAATTTTGCTGAATGCGGCGTTGAACAACAAAGAAACAAACAGTCATTTTGGGACCTTTCACATACTATCTTTTCTTTTCATAGTTTGGATTGTTAGAACAGTTTTGGAATTGCAACTTAGGGAATAACTTGGAATATTTTGATAAAAGTGTCCACAGTGTTGTTGATATGATCAAAGTAACATTTACAACTCAAAAGATTGTTAAAGAACAACCTGTTCTCTTATATTACTAAAGTTAATGACAGATTAACTATTGTCTCCTTTAACTTCTTTTGAGTAGTATATTTTAGTTAAATTCATCATCATTTGTTACTGAATAATTTTATCTAAAGATAAGTAATAGAAGTGTTTAGGTAAGTAAAAATGACATTAAAATGAGTTATATTTCTAATTTCCTTATGGTTCAAAGACACCAAAGACACCAGACAATCTATAGCTGACCATGTAACAAGATATTCTGATATTAGTTATCTATCAGCTTTGATCCCTTGTCTATCAGTTGAGAACAGAAATATTCTGACTGCCTCCAGATCCTGCTTCCTGTGTAGATCTATCCCAGAATTCCTGGGGAGCATTCCCATTTGAACGATGGTGACAGCTGTATATCTTCTATCTGGTGCTACTGGCATCAATCCAGGTGTTTCTCGTTGGCTGGCAGCCAGCGGGCACCTATAAGCATGCGCTAGTCACATGCTGAAACAATTTACCTTTCCTATAAACTTCTAGTGCCAAATATTTGCTGTATTATTCTTAAAGAACTGAGGTTCACCTCCGAATAAATTGGTACTGAAGTTCACTTTAGACTTAAATTATACTGAAGTTCACCTTAGACTTAAGTGGTACTGAAGTTTACCTTAGACTTAAATGATACTGAAGTTCACCTCATACTTAAGTGGTACTGAAGTTCACCTCAGACTTAAATGATACTGAAGTTCACCTTAGACTTATATGGTACGGAAGTTCACCTTAAACTTAAGTGGTACTGGAGTTCACTTTAGACTTAAATTATACTGAAGTTCACCTTAGACTTAAGTGGTACTGAAGTTCACCTTAGACAGTGGAACTGAAGTTTTCCCTTAGACTTAAGTGGTACTGAAGTTCACCTTAGACTTAAATGGTACTGTAGTTTACCTCTGAAGACTTAAATGGTACTGAAGTTCACCTTAGTCTTAAATGATACTGAAGTTCACCTCAGAAGACTTAAATGGTACTGAAGTTTACCTCATACTTAAATGATACTGAAGTTTACCTAAGAAGACTTAAATGGTACTGACGTTTACCTTAGACTTAAATGGTATTGAAGAAAGAAATTGAACTGAAGTTCACCTCAGAATGAAATAAAACTGAAATTCACCGTATTCATATCATATTATTTTCAAGAGGGGTGTGTGTGTGTGTGTGTGTGTGTGTGTGTGTGTGTGTGTGTGTGTGTGTGTGTGTGTGTGTGTGTGTGTGTGTGTGTGTGTGTGTGTGTGTGTGTTTTTGTGTGTGTGTGTGTGAGGGGGTGGTTTGAATCTTACATTTTATTTCACCTGTTTTGGAGTTCAGACATAATCAGTGATCCAAGCACCAAAAGTTCATGGTGGCCAACAGTTTAGGTTTTAGCAAAGAGAGAGTCCTGTCTGTAGCATTCTGGAAGAAATCATCTCAACAAGTCATTGGTAATTAGTTATGGCCCTTTTAGTCCCTATACTTTTATTATATGTTACCAGTTCTATCTTATCCATGAAGATCCTGGTTAGAATAGGTTTTCAGCAACCCATGCTTGCTATAAGAGGTGACTAATGTATCCCAATTGTGTAGATCCATACTCATGATATCAATCACTGGACTGTCTGGTCCAGACTTGATTATTTACGGACTGCTTTCATATAGTGTGACTATTGCTGAGTGCAGCGTTAAACAACAAACAAACAAACAAACCAATTGTATCTGTCTGATAGATGTAACTTCTGGATTAACAGTTGATACTCAAGCTTTTCTTTCAGAATTCAATGAACATCATAGATCATGTTGGATTTTCGAAGGGTATAGCTTAGAAATCTGCAGAGTATTTTCTTTAAAAAAGAATTAAATTTGATGTGTTTGTGTTTGCAGAGTGGAGAATGGATTCGAGTACGTGTCCACCAAATGGAACCCGACCTCTTGGAGGTCGGCGCGACCTTGGAAGAAGCTCTCCAGCTACGCAGGGAACATGACGAACTCCTCTCAAAACTTCAGGTAAGTGAGCCAATGTTATGTAAGCTGCAGTGCAGGAAGTGCAGCATGGGAAACCTATTCTGAACTGTAGGGTGATTAACACATTACCCATATCTTGAATATCTTTAAAATATTCAAATATGTTCAGCATGTCCAATAATCCAGACCAGATTTTTCACAAGTTGGTGATGTGTGGTGGTAATTTTGATATAATCATAAACGTTTCATGTTAGTAGTTAAATGTTGAACTGGGTTATCATACTAAAAATGTTTAAGTGGGAATGAATGAATTCAATCATGCTGTTTCATAAATAAGTTGTGGTTTGTTTATGGCTGCTTGGTACAGTCATCCAGTATTGCAGTGAGGAAAACTGACTTGATACAGGTCAGAGACATGTACTGCAGTAAAACTCACATCTCAAGTAGGAGCATGATAGGATTAAATCTTGATTATTTGATAAGAACTAACATTTCATTAGTAGTACCCATGTGATACAATCAACACATATATCTTGTTGAAACATACCCATGAAGATCCGGGGTAGAATAGGTCTTCAGCAACCCATGCTTGCCGTAAAAGGCGACTATGCTTGTTGTAAGAGGCGACTAACGGGATCGGGTGGTCAGGTTTGGTTTGATGCATGTCATCATATCCCAATTGCGTGGATCGATGCTCATGATGTCAATCACTGGATTGTCTGGTCCAGACTCGATTATTTACAGACCGCCATCATATAGGTGGAATATTGGTGATTGCGGCGTTAAACAACAAACAAACAAACCTTGTTAAAACAACCTGATTTTATGGGTACCTATGCAGGATGACAAATGGATGATACACATTTTCTCCATCACCCTAGGGTTCTCCCCCTGCTCAGTCATGATCCTTAAAAGGTGGCAGACATTTTTACCCCCTGATAGACCTGCTCAGGAATCTGACCTTCAATACCCTCCACAGCCTCAACAGAATTACAGTGGAAGGAATATATAGTATCATGCTAAATGCTTGATGAAATCTATTTTCTAGCTGTCACAATTGAAGGCTAGTTGTTCACATTTCATTGGCACAGTATATCCAGTCTTTTGCATTTTTTGAGTCATATCTGTGTTACATCTGAGGTAAAACATAATGAGGAAAATCAGTGATGAAGTCTTGAAATGTACCATGTAAATAGCAAAGTTCTTAAAATCCAAGCTAAAAGTGCTCTAAAATCTGATTTAAGAATGAATTACACTTAATCTGTTTAAATACCAGTTTGTACATATGTTTTTGTTTCTAAAAAAAATAGTAAATTTTCCAAAGACAAATAAAACGAAAAATCTCCTTATCTGACACTCAAACAAACAGACAGACGAGTCAGACATTATGTTTCCACACTTCTGGCTATATCATTAAATCATAACCCTAAAACATGCAACACCATCCTCTGCAGCACCTTCTCCATGACATAACAGCACCATCCACACATCCCCTTGAAGACTGAGTCACCTCCAGGTATTGGTGCGGAAGCTGCATTGTGGGGGTAGAATTGATTGTGATGTAACATGCAGGCAGAGCTATACATCTGTCAGACTCCACAGGGGGCTGCTGTCAGACACTGGTTTAATTGGTAACATGGATGCCGGAATGCACCTCTTGTTACCTGCAATTGCATGCCTTCTATGACCATATGGGTCCCTTGAGCATAACATCTTATTTTGTTCAAAAGTGGGATATTTTAAGGTTATTTTCCTAAAATTCCGAGTATTTTGATATTGAATATAGTGCAATATTGTAAAACTACACAAGGCATATCCTTCTTTATTGGTCCTGATTTCAGTAAAATACAAGTTACTACAAAGCCATAACATTAGATAGAACTATATCAACGTGAATTGGGATTTTAGTTTATTCCAATTCGGGATGTTTTAATCACCATTTCATGCAGATCTGGTTCTGGATATTCCATAAGGCCTCTGAGCAGGTCTAGATCAATTTAATGATGAGGTACTTATACTTCATAATAATTTATTCATTTTGGAATAACCATTGATACCTGGGCATGATATTCATGTTTGTACAAGCTGGATATGGCAGGATGCGTAGACACTACCACAAATTGTACCCACATACCCTATTGAAGAAAACCAAGGTTTTGTAATGGTTATCAGATGCATTTGACACAAGACTGTATGTTGAATGTCAGTGCCTATGAATTATCAAACTAAAGCAAAAATCAATTTTTCTCAATTTGCCTACCAAGTATATATATATGCAGATATATAAATGATAATGATAACTGGTAATGGGTAATAGTGCTTATGTTAATTCATAATTTGTTTTATGCTTATGAAATGTTGCACTAACAATCTCACTGCGTAGATTGTTGCTGTGAGTATTTGACATTGAACTTCAAAAGTAAACTGTTTTTTCATGCTAGAAACAAAAGGAAGCCATTACCCAACAGGAACAACCAAAACAGATTTGCTCAAGGTCACAGGGCTTTCCTGTACATGTGTAGAATACAAGGCCGATGGTGCCAGGATTGTGATGTACTTTTGGCACGTTGATACAGTAACGAAGAAGCCAAGTTTTCTATGGGTTTAGAGGGGGAGTGTGTAGAAGGAGAGCATCGGGTATAGCGGGGAGTGGTGGGTATAGCGGGGAGTGTTAGAATGGGGATCATGCAGAACTCCATGACCAAAATAACTTCCTTAGCCGCAGTGAAGTCAGCTTCTGCCGGCTGCAGCGTAGTCTTGGATGATAACACACCTCCAAAAGAGGGGGCTGATAAATACATTCCTGGCACCTTAACATATATACTCTCTGGAGTAGCTATTTCGCAGTGGATTTACTTGCCAAGAAATGGAAATAGGTTCAATAAAATGTCTGCATTTATTTTTATCTTTATATTTTGGTATCTTTTGAAGAATTTGATATGTATACTAGGACATTAAGATTATTCAATTGTATTGATATGACGGGTAAGATCATTTCAGGGCATTTAATTTTTGGAAAATTATCCAAGATTACTTTAAATGTCAACATGGGTAAATATCAACAAGTTTTCTTAAACTGATTTCAGGTGATCCAATAAATGTGTGCATGCATGTATAATTTGGTTACTGAAACCCAGGGTTTCTTATCAATGTTCAGCAAAGATGTTCTTACTTAAATATTAGGTTTATCAAGTTGTTTATTGGACCTGAAATGTTAATCTGCCAGTATTACATACACAAACATCCTACACAGCTCCCATTACCCCTGCAGTCAAAATAACTTATTACGTCCGCCTCATTACCCCAGCAAACCCATGTTATGTACTCAGCGCCAGCAGATCGTGTGCTGGTCGGGGCTGAAAAGTGATAGAGATGCTTGCAGTACCTGACACATTACAAGTATTCACCTCTAGTTCAGTGGAATATTTGACATTTCAAGCTTTTATCAGGCATATATTCATCCCCTTAATCTTGAGTGACAACGGTATAAGGATCTATACTGAAACATTGCCATTACAGTTGAATAAAGAAGTTGTTATCCATAAATTGTGTCTACTTTGTCATCCATCAACTTCTGAGAAATGCCTTTTGAATAATTCTGCAGCAAGTGTAAAAAGAATTTCCCAAATTGGAATTTCAATGTCAATTTATGCTACTGTTAGAATTAAGATGTCCCAGTTCATGAACAAATGTTATAACTTTGTGGAGGTAATTTGTACAATTTCTTGAAAAGAAACACATTATTGATTTACCATGATGAAGATTCTGTCCCTGCTTGCCTTCTTGTGGAAGTTGAGAGCTCAAAATAGCTAAATATTTCTTCAATAATGTATCATGTTTAACTTAAGAAAATTAGTTATAGAAATATTAGAAATAAGGGGCTCTTATTAGAATATTATTTTGGTGACAAAAAACAGTTCAAAGATCGTTAATTTCGTGGTTTATGCTGACAGCCTGAAATTATTATATAAGACAGATATATTTTTCCAGAATTTAATTGCCCATAATTAAGGGTGCATATAACACACGAGTGCGTATTATCCAAGAATAAATAATACATGTGTACATTGATCAATCGGAAGGGGTGCTAATTGGGATTGTTCACTTGTGAATATATTAGCAAATATCGCCGTTGGCACTTATTAAAACGGGACGCTTCATATGTCGAATACGGTAATTGTGTATGACCTGCATTCTTTTGAGTTTTGCACCTCCATGAAGCTGATACACCATTATAAAACTGTAATACTGTTAAAAGTGGCTTTTACCCAACTCACTCACTCTCTAATCATTGATTTATTCTGGTCAAATGCTTTGAAACATATATCTCAGTGTTCTTAGGTTATAATAGCATGTAAAGATGTCATAATTAGCATATTTTCATATCAGTGTGATTTGTTTAATTTCAGTCCAAAGAAGGAGAAGTTAAGGAGATGCTGTCGAGAGCAGACTCGTACGCAGACGAGAATCGATCACAAGCAGACGTATACGTTGCAATGGCCGACACGCTTAATGAAGCCTGGCGAGACCTCAACGACAAACTGAAACTACGCGGTCAGCTGCTGGACCAAAGCATTGCATTCCACCAGGGCGCACAAGATGTGAGTACCCAATGACATGGATTGTTGCACACAATATCGATCACTGATTGTCTGGTCCAGACTCGATTATCTACAGGCCACTATCATATAACTGGAATATTGCCCAGTGTGATGTTAAACAAAAAAACAACTCATGTTGTCTCTTAATATTTGCTATTCTGTTTGTTTTACTTATTAATTATTGTAGCAGTGATAGTGATAATTAATTCAATTCTTGCAGCTTTCATCCAAAATGGAACAAGCACAAAACAACTTCAGCAATGTTCCTCTTGCCAAGGATGTGGAAACCGCTCGCAGCCTCCTCCAGCAGCACCAAGAGATCAAATCAAGTAGGTCGCCACCTTTACACACACCTCATCACAGAATGTTAGATAAACATGATAAATGCACCAGACTAGATTAGATACACTCAGTACAAGGGCAGGGCCGCAAGCCATGAAATATATGTATGATATCACAGATATACTTGAAGCAAGATGGAACCCTGTGCCAAAGAAAGCTAAATCTAAATCTATATGAGAGGGGTTCCCATCTTTAAGATGTCCTTATCTTTTTTTAAATATTAAATCAATAGCGTGTAAGGCCAGCTAGATAAGATAAGTAAAGCCTACTCTATAATTTCAATATTAAAACAAAACTTGTGGGTAGAATGCTGTTTATAACAATATGTTTTGCCTATATCATTCTGTTTAACATACAAAGTAGGATGCATTTTAGGAAATTGTTCAGAGATCAACACTAAAATTATTTTGTATTTTTTGCATCCCACAACTTAGGAAAATGAGGAGGAAAATCGGAAATACAAGAAATTTAATTGATGGGCCTGAGTTAAAAATGACAAAATATAACCTGTTTTTGACTTTATTATGAGGTCTGGGAAGGGATCTTACCCCTTTGATGTAAAGGATTTTGATCTGTTCCAGTTTGAAACATAATCCATTGTTCATGGTTTGTCTGTATTTTCAGGTATATTGGAGAAATCTAAATACACACTTGACATTGGTCAGTCCTTGCTTGATCGCATCAAAGAAATGGGTATGCATGCAGACCTACAAAACAGGCACGCCACCACCGCAGCCTGTTATGGAATTGAACATTTACTGGAACTTTTACATGATCGACGTCGACACCTAGAAGAACTTATGACACAACGAAAAATAAGACTGGAACAATGCTTGCAATTGTGCCAGTTGGACCAAGAAGTGAACAAGGTGGGTATTATTTGGTTTAGAAATATTGTGATCACAACAATGATCCGCAATGATTAGGTTCTGAATATTGTGTGAAGGAAGACAAGGGGCTAGGGGGTTCCAGTTGTCTGAGGCATCTGAATTCACTGTGCAGTGTTGTGTCTTTGGCAGGAATGGAAATAAGCATTAGTCCAGTAGTTTGTGCTAAAGGACTCTAGTAGAATTTCAAACATTTTGGGTGTATTGCTGTACATACATCCCAGATACTGAATGGCCCTAGGTTTTTGTAGAGTGATCATTTTCTTCTTACATGAAGCTTTGTCTTGAGTACAGTCTCATTAAAATCTGATCTTAGTTTTCACTACCGCTAAACAAAGATCTGAGTACATCCCATTACTGGTCACGTCAGAAGGATCTTTCGTGGACTTTGACCGACCAATGAAATGACGGACAAGAAATCGACATCAGCCAATCAGAAGGCAGCTTCCTCGAGCTTTACGACACAAGTTTCAAACTGGCAACTACACTTCGAAACATATTTTGACGTATTCTCGATTAAAAATTTTAAAACTGATAAAAGTACATTCTGGAATGGCTTATAGATGGCCAAGATTGTATGAATATAATCATAAAACCTGTAACTGTCGTTCGGAATACCCTCTGTTAATATTTCCGAGGATGCATGATTAGAAAATACATACCGTCCGTCACTTTCATGATCGGGTAAGCGACGCTCTGATTGGTTGGGTGAAAGGTCGTTCTGACGTGACCCGTAATGGGATGTCCACAGATCTTTGTTTAGCGGTAGCAAGAACTAAGATCTGATTTAAATGAGATTGTCATGAGTAGTAACCTTCAGTCCACAGTGTCTTAGACATTGGCTGGGGGAGCTCACTGGTGAAAGCATTGTCTTGTCCTACTGACGACCCTATGCCCCACTTTGTATTTTGTGGTACATAAGTACAAAGGATTTGACCTGTGTCTAGAGAGACAAGGTTTCACTGAAAACTGCTAAGAGTCTAACAGGCTTTCTCACAGTTCTTTGTCTGATGTGGTGGTTTTACTTTCATTGTTGTGTTTCATTTGTCACAAATTATACAGTTGTGAAGATAACAACATTAATTGCACTTTGTTATAGAAAGTACAATGCAACATGTGTATAGTACTCAAAAGAAGTTAAAGAACACTCGATTCTTTCATATTGCTATAGTTATGTCATGACAGATTAACTGCAGCAATATGAAAGCATCGGGTCATGCCATGACACCTTTACTATGGTAATGTGAAAGCATCGGGTCATGCCATGACACCTTTACTATGGTAATGTGAAAGCATCGGGTGTTCTTTAACTTCTGTTGAGTAGTATATGTGTGAAATGTTGAAGGCCTTACGGCCACCACTTGTGTAAAACACTGATTGTCATTAATCCAATGGTGTGAGATGTGGTCACGTGTGTCACTAACATACTTCAATGTACACAGATTCTTGAGTGGTTCCGCACTATTGGAGCAGACAGCATAAACAACTCGGATCTCGGAGAGTCTTACACCTCCGCCAAGTATTTACAAGACCAACAAAACAGATTTGAGATCCAAGCGAGGGTACATACATACTGTTCTTATGTCTGATAAACACTGGTCAAATTGTGGTATAAAAACTTCAATAAAACTATCCTATATATATTTCATTTGCTAAAAGAACATATAAATGTACGCATAGATCATAATGAGTTTTTACATAGATTTATTTGAGAACATTGACGATATTTCACTTTTAAATTAGCCTTTGTTTATTAAGTAATGACCTTGACCCTTTTGCATTTGACCTTCTGACCTTGGCTTGATTAACAGGATATGCAGGACACGATGCTGCGATTGATCCGGAACGTAGACCAACTCCTTCTCCGAGCCAGTCTCGATGCGGAGGGAGTGCGTCAGCGATTGCAGATCGTGGATGCCGAGTGCGAAGACTTCATGGTCAAACTGGACAATAGAAGAAAGAACATCTCAAGCTCTGTATCTTTCTTCAACCAAGCAGAAACGGTAGGTGTTACACCACATCTGGTGTTGCAGTGTAATATCTCAGGAAGCAAATTTAAATCACTCAAAACATGATACAGATCTTATCCTGAATCTTGGCATACTTGCCTGGAAATCCATAGAAGGTATAGATTTGTTTGGACATATTTTCTATTCACAACTTCATTTGTTGTTAGAACCTACCAATAAACACAATATCTGGCTTGTTGCAGGCTCTAACACAACTGGGACAGATTGAAGTCCAACTTAACAACATGGACTTGCCACGGAACAGCGCAGAGCTCGCCGAGCATCATGCTCACCTTTCTAACTCCATTGTGGAAATTTCCACGTCAGCCTTTATGGAAGGTCGTCTTCTACTCGAGAGGGTCAGTAGGAGCGACGCCGGGGCTGATGGCGTCAGAAAGAAGGTAGGTCAAGGTCATTAGGTCATTACTGCTGAAGGTCAAGGTCACGGTGGCATTACCGCTGAACTCATTGACATTGGCAGGGACATGTCCATTAAAATGTTCTTGGCAAGGAAATTGACATAATTAATTTATCAACCTGAATATGTTTGTCGAAACAGCCAGTCATAATATTTGTGATTTTTAGAAGTTCTGTTAATGTTGTATGGAGACCTGTAACCCAGTTTGCGTATCTATTCCTTGTCTAAAATTTCTTATCGAGACACTTGTGGTACTAAGGCCTTGGTCCAACCGAATATATTCTAACCCATGCTCAAAAATATTTTCTTGGTTGTACAAATCTGCTGTTGTTTTGCAGATGGATGAACTCGAAGCTCGCTGCGCCCAACTTGAGTCGCTGTGCAAGGCGAGACGGGCCGAGGCGTGGGAGCGTAGTCAGGCTTATCTCATCTTCCAAGAGAAATTCAACAGTGTACGTACAACAAGAAGCATTGGACATTTCGTAACTGGCAGAAAAAAATATTAATGCTAATTTCCAGCTTCAGATGGCAGCTTTTATGTTGTTTGTTGAAGAAGAATTTGTAACATGATGAAAGGTAGGTTTTGATTAATAATGGATACTTGATATTGTGTCAGATAATTATGAATGTTTTCTTTTCCAACAGCTCTTCACGTGGATGACACAGATTTGCCAGAGTACGCTCAGTCGCCACGGCAACATGGGAAACACCCTTGCCAGCGCCAAGGACTTTCTTGAAATACACGAGCAATTGGATGAAGACATTAGAGTATGTAGTAATCTGTAAACATTATTCATTAAAATGTATTGTGTGTATGGCACTTGGCCTATGTTAATCACTGGATTGTCTGGTCCAGACTCGGATTATTTACAGACTGGAATTTAGTGGAATATTGCTCAGTGTAGCATAAAGCAACAATCAAACCATTGATCTGAGTCTCATATAATTGATGTTCAGGTAGATTTTTTCACAAACATTATATCTATTATTATGAATGTTTCAGACTGATATGACTTTAGGTGGCAGGATCCCTGACTGTGGATGAGAATTTATATTTCATGGATGTTGTTTTCCAGGAAAAAAGTGCGGAAATTGACTCCTTATCCGAGGCTGTAGTGAACCTGGTCAGGTCAGGGGACCAGGAAGCACAGTCGGCCGCGGAGAAGGTGGACAACATGCGCAAACAGCTGAATCGGTTGCACCGCGTCACCGAGACCCGCATTCAACTTGCTCTCTACTATGTCTCATTCCTCAGGCTTGCAAATCAAGTAAGTTCAACTGAGAAAAGTCACCTGTGTCACCTAGGTCAACCCCGTGGTGACCTGGGTTGGAGTTGGCTCCTAGCTCCCCATTGCTGGTTGTAAGGCTTCTGGATTGGATAGCAGGGCGGTGGGGTAGCCTTGTGGTTAAAGTGTTCACTTGTCATGCCTAAGGTCTGGTCGATTACCCTCATGGGTACAATGTTTGAAGCCCATTTCTGGTGTCCCCAGCCATGATATGGCTAGAATTTGGCTGACTGTGGCATAAGGCAACATTTACTCATTATGTTTGGTACTAAATTGTTCACTGTATCTGGTGATGTACCCAAACAGGAAATTGCTTCAATATTGACAATAGCCGTTTAAAACCATATTGCCTTTGAAGAATAGATTTGAAAAGGTCTTGAATGTCACAACAATTCTAATTTTTTTTTTAAATATTAAATATTATTAACATTCTGTCTATGTTCTGAGAAACCTCTAATTTAAAGTCCACCAGAATAACCTTGAACAGGCTTGAATTGTCTGTTGTTATGACTGAACGTTTTGTCCTTAGCTGTAAGCCTATGGTTTGTGTGCTTTCAGATGGTCACCAATATGAGTGGCCTTGAACACATCATCCATTCAGAAACCGAAGATCTGCAGGAACTAACAGATGCTGCAGTTCTTCACACACAGGAGATGTGGAACAACATGTCACGTAACTTTTCGGAATTCGATGAGAAGGGCAGAATATTTTTGAAGAATTCCTCCACAGTAAGTGCTAGACGACATTGATTGCTTTATAGCCAGTTTTAGGAATGTTCCCAGTTGTGATGATGATAAGGATGATGATGATGATGGTGATGATTGATGACGACAACGATTGGTGATAATGGTGTTAGTGATGATGATGATGATGATGATCAATGTGATGATGATGACGGTGATGATTGATGATGACGACGACAACGATTGGTGATGATGGTGATAGTGATGATGATGATTATTGATGATGATGATAATGATGATGATGATTTGTGTGCCCAGATCACTGATGACTCCACTTTGGAGATCCGCAGCACCATCAACACTGTGGAGAAGCTGCTACTGGACTTCCGTGAGCGAATGTCGTCACTGACACAGCACTGGGAGTCGTGGCAGATGCGTGTGTCCTCCAGCAAACAGTTCAAGTCTCAGTGGCACCAGTATATCCAAGAAGCCAGACGGGTATGGTGGCCATCTTGAATTTCCTACATCAGATATGATAAAACTGTGTTGCAAAACTGAAAAACAAATTGAAGGATATTTTTGTGAAATTTCAACGCTTTTTGTTTTCCCTTTCAGTGTTTTAACGGTGTGTTGATTTTAAGACATACTGTACATTCATCTGGAAACCAGAGCTTTTTATTTTCAAAACACACATTTTGAATTATCATATTCCTGTAAAAATATTATCTCTCATGTACGATTGATTATTTTTCTATAACAACGTGTGTAAATTCATCTTTGGTGGAGTTATCACCTTCTATTCATTATACTATTTAATGCAACAATTTGAAATATTCCCCTATTGACCATTGGTAAATGTGATACCTATCTGCCCCAATGCACCACTGCCTGTGACAGACTATGTTTAATTAAGCTGTGAAGGGGAATAGTTAGGGGTTCCCGCTCGCCTGCTGATTACAGGAAAAGGTTGTTCTCACAACACCTATAGGATATGGATTTTATGTGTCATATCAGTACAATACGATAAGCTGCAAATGTGATATTGGTATAAAATGGAAAATATCTACGTGACATCAGTACAAGGTAATTGGTTGCAAATGTGATCTCTGTACAAGACAGTAGTTTGCAATACGATGTTCCAACTTTTTTAATCCATTTTCAGTTTGGAAGTCCAAATGTAATTTCAGCACTAATCTGTTTCTGTATTTATGTGCAGTCAGTATATGTCTGTAGTTACATACATCCTATCAGTTCAAGACAGTAAGTATATACCCCAGTATGTAAATAAGTAAAAGACATTAGGAATATATCATGTATATGATAAGCTTTATGTATAAGACATATATTACCTATTATATAAAATAATTAACACCTAAATCAAGTCTACTTTTCTCATTAAGTTTTAGTGAGGTTGAATGAGTTGAGTCCATTTTGTATTAGCCGGTGACTTTTGTTACAGGTGATATCAATAATATTATTCCTATGACTTCCATGTATATATACAAGCATCGTTTATGGTTATTTATTGGAATGATTACAAACAATAATCGCAGACAAAGAGGCATGGTTGTCAGCCAGGGTTCTGTATGGTGTTCTCTTGTAATGGCAGTTTTTGCACTACTTAATGTTGTGTTTTCCAGACAATAGAGTGGGTCATGAGTATTGAGAACGACTTTTTCCCAGTAATCGCAGGCGATCTTGGGAACTCCTTGGAATCGGCTAAAGACTACCAGGCTCGCTACGACGAGTTCTTGCCCAATTACAAGGTATATGATCATGTCACACCATGCTGTCATGGGGAGATGAGATGCGAAGCTGTGGATCCACCGACTAAATAACCCATGAAATGTTTTGAAGCTTTTGATATCATATCTTTAAATGGCAATCTCAAAGCTTTAACATCAACGAAGACAGTTGGCTTTAGGAATTCAATGTCTTTATTCTATCTATGTGATGTTTAGGTACATTTAATTGTACCTTTATCAAGTTAGCCACTGTAGTATTGTACAGGTACTAGTACCTCTATCAAGCAAGTCGCATACTTGATAAAGGTACTAGACTCTGTACTGAAACATTGCTTAGAAAGAATATAGAAGTTGAAAACCTGGCAGAAAATTTCGGAATTGAATATACGAAAAAGTTTAATTATCATGAAAATATTATAAGAAATGGACATGGTTATCCATACTCACAAGTCTGAGATCCACACGAAAGCATCCCATCTCCTCTAAGCCTTGTAATATAGAGTAAATATTGGAGTGTCTTGTGTTCTCTGTAGACCATTGACTGGGTGATGAAGGTAGAGAGGGAGTTTTTCCTCCCCTACATCGCAGGACAGCTCGGAAACTCGCTCGAACGAGCAGAACAGCTTCAGCGTAAAGTGGAGGAGTTTGTTCCAGTAGCCAAGGTATTGACTGTTGTCAGTGTGAGCTTATATACAGCTAAACTCTAGATGTTGTTGCGTGGACTCCTCGTCATGGGCTGACTGAGGAGCAGGATTAACAGTGTTCTGTAGATAGTACTATGCTGTTGTAACTACTGAAATAGCGCTGCGCTTTTTGCTGTTTGCGTTTCAGGCACTTCTCCTCTTTACTTCTTGTCCAATCTGCCATCTTTTTTTTAATAAATATTTTGTTTATTTTAAATTTATTTGGAGCAACTTCTTTGAGAGGCATTTAGAAGTTGGAGTACTAAGTAAGGATAAGAGTTTATGGATGAACAACTTCTTTATTACAATTAAGAGCGACATTTCGGTGTAGGTTCTAACACCGTTATCAAGCAAGAACCTACACCGAAACGTCGCTCTTAATTGTAATAAAGAAGTTGTTCATCCATAAGTTCTTATCCTTACTTATTTGGAGCAGTTTCATGCCTTGCTTAAAATGATAGGCAAATGTGTCTCAATATATAGTGAACATTGGCTTCAAAATAGTTTCAATGATTTGAATTTTTTTTTTAGATTAAGGCACACCGATTTTACCCTGCATCTGTTTTTGAAAATTACCGCCTTGATAAGTCATTGGGTTATTTCTGAATAATAATGCAACTTGTCTGTCCTTGAAACATGGAAAGATGGAAATATTATCACAACTGAAGCTGTTTTTTCATTCATGGACACTTGTTACATTTTCACACATGATATCATTCCAAATGCCCACAGAAAAGCATTGTCACATATGTCCTGAAGAAAATTTTGTCATATCTTGATCCATAAGTCTTTGTCTCATTACACCGAAGACCCGGGTTCAAATCCCGACATGGATACAATGTGTGAAGCCCATTTCTGGTGTCCCCCGCCGTGATATTGCTGGAATATTGCTAAAATTGGCGTAAAACCATACTCACTCACTCACTCTTTGTCACATTTCCCAATATATCTTTGTCATACTTTTATTTATTGTCTCTTTGTCCAATTTTATCTATGTTTTTCTTACACATTTATTAATGAAATCATTGTCACACTTTTCCCCATGTAATCATTGTCACACTTTTTCCCATGTAATCAGTTCCACAATTTTCCCCATGTAATCATTGTCACACTTTTTCCCACGTAATCAGTTTCACACTTTTTCTGATGCAATTGTTGTCACACTTTAATCCATGAAAACGTCACTTCTTGACCCATGAAAACTCGAACTCTCTACGGTATCGAACTCTAAGCACAGATTGCAGGATGTTTAATTTTGTTTTCCAACTATACTACTCAACACCTTGACTAAACATGGCTATTTTGGTCCTTAACAAACGTTGAGTTGTATATTTGTATACAGGCCAGACATCACCATAGACAATCAGTCTCCATCGCTTTGCAGCTTTTTGCCTCCATGACATAACTGCAGAGCAGTGTAGCACTAGATGTTATATTTTGATATGTATTCAGTTCTTCATCGTTCTTTGTTTGCTTGCAAATGGAGTTGTACCAATTGTTGAGTACACTTGCATTGTTACTTGCTGCGGCTGAGCAAGGGCGCTTTTGTTCTTGCTACAGTTGGACTCAAAATATTCTCTGACCACTGCAAGATGTGACTTACTGTTAATTACTGTTTCTCTATCTCTATATTGTGAGATGGGCGTGTTCCACAGAGCGGTCTTATTGCTATGAATGTCACAGATTATACATAGACTTCTGATAGCCATAGCTGTAGGATCACTCTGTGGGATGTGACCTGTTGTAAGTTACATAGAATAGTCAGTTTGAAAGGTTTTGTTGTTCATCTTAACTAATTCATAACTTACTATCATGACCAGTCTATTGTTACTTTCATTAATTTATTCTAGATGTTACAGTTTTATACAGCACTGACATTTCAGACAAATATTTTTTTTAAATATGTGTCATATTTAAATTGGCTATATTTCATCAGTTTGTTTTGTTCCTGTTAAAAAACTAAGTGATTTTTTTTCTTCATTTGCTCAACACATTAGTAAAAGATACAGTTCTACATCATTGCTGAAACGGTGTAAAACATTTCACTCTCTCATCAAATTTAGTTTTCAATATTCGTTTCACCCTGTTACCAATGAGCTACCTATGGTTGCAGAAGGCCAAGGAGGAGATCGAGAACCACTTGAAGACTGCCGAGCTGTTGTCACTGAAGGGAGACACCAAAGGAGAGAAGGACAAGATCATCAGTGAACTGGTCAAGGTCCACCAACGATTCCAGGCACGCATCAACGAGTACCAGATCCTGCTCAAGATGACCATCACATTCTTCAAGAACCTTCATCAGGTCAGAGCATAAACTTGGTCCTTGAGTAGAACTTGCTCCTCTTGCTGGAACTGTTGATGCTGGGGGTATCTCAGAGGAACAACCAGTTCCTGATATTTATTTACAGAAGATTCATGTTGAAATTTGTGTCATCAGTGTTGGAAATGACACTTTGTGTCTCTGAAATTTGATAATTTGTTTCACCATTCGAAAAGTGTAATTAGTTTCTGTGATTATGGAGTGTTGCACCAAGCACAGGTATGACTCTCCATTTCTTGATGATACTAGTTTCCTGGCCTCATGCCTCTTAAATGTGGTCAATCATCATTATGCATAATGGGTCACTTGATCAGTATCCAAATGTATTTGAGGCCTGTGTCTACACCAGTGCCCTCCTAGAAATGATGTATTTGATATGATTATCTTTAGAAAGATCACCATGAAAGACTAACCAAGTATTCTCAGCGATGATCCTAATGTTGATGTGTTGATAGTTGGATGAGGTGATCTCGAGGACAGAGCACACGTACTCCCAGTTGGAGCTGCCATCGGACCTGACGACAGCTGAGTCAATGCTGGAGGACCATAAACGCAAGAAGAATGAAGTGTCACAACTCATCCACTTCTCTGCCGACGAGGGCGAGAAAATCGTCAGAAGAGTAAGACAGCAGGTTAGTGTTGTGTGGGAATTTATTTTTTGAATTTTGATTTGAATTTGTGTACCAGTCATGTTAACAGTGAGTAGTTAAGACGTTTAGTGAGTCATTGGAATGGTTAGTGAGGTAACAGAACGGTTAGTGAAGTAAAGGAATGGTTAGTGAAGTAACAGAATGGTAAGCTAGGTAACGGAATGGTTAGTGAAGTAATGGAATTGTTAGTGAAGTAACTGAATGGTTTGTGAAGCAACGGAATGGTAAGAAGGGAATGGATAGTGAGGGAATGGAATGAATATTTAGTGAACATATTGCTTTGTGAAGTAATGGTTTGGTTAGAAGTTGAAACCTTTACAACATTAAGTTATGTCAGCCATGTCTGAAATTAATTCATAATTATGGTAATAATGATGCTGACGATCATCAAGTATTGCCGATCATACAATTCTGTCGAGATATATCTTTAGGCTCTCTAATACTGGTTATTCTTTGTCAGGATTCACAAGCTGTCGCGTCAGAAGACGTTCACAGTGTGCTGAACGTCACAGAGGAATACAAGCGTCGCTGGAACCAGACATGGGACGAACAGCAGAAACGCTTGCAGCAAAATCTACAGATCTGTCAGTTCAACTATGATCTTAGACAGGTAGGGCAAAGACTAGACAAAGAATAGACACAGAATAGACAAAGTCTTAAATTGACACCTTAAATCTAATGAGTTTGGAGAAATTCCACTGAAAGACAAACTGTCCTTTGACTCTTGTTTACAAACCCCAACAGTTTTGAGAGCCTACATTACTTGACATGGAGCAGTTTCCTGTGCACAGTTATTTCCCTTAGGCATGCCAGGATCCAGTGATCATGGGTCCCGATCCAAAAGTCGTCCTGATTATGATCTGTGATTGTCAGGACCATACCCATTGCTTCCACCAAAGCCGTAAACAGGAAGACCTGCATCTCTGTCCCTTTTCCTCCCACATCAAGCTGCCAGTCTTTTAGATAACTCTGATATTGTTACTTTCTAAAGACCTAAATTCTCCTCATGTACCCCATTGTAGATTATCCACCTGTATACTTTAAAATTAATTGTTTGAATAAATAGATGTGCTTTTCTTTCTCTCAGATAGTTATACGTTCAAAGTACTTATATATCATGGTAATGTATATCTGTATTATGTATGACTACATTGTTGTTTCTGTTCTTTTAAAGATCCATTCAGAGATAGATGAATTACATCAGCATCTTCAGGCACGACGAGGCAGCTACGGCAACAACCTTCCGGCTGCCAAGATGACGTCGCAAGCCTTCAAACAGTTTGAATTAACTGTTGAGGTGAGAAATTGTTTTATGCTATTACTGTTATGATCAGAAATGGTTTGACAGCGGTGAAAAGAACTTGACAAAAACTTAAGGTTTTCACATATAATTGTGGTGGGATGATTCACTGATGTATGGTGGGATTACAAATTTAACTTGATATGACACACAACACACCTACCCCTTTTTGAATCATGTGGGGAGGTCGGGTAGCCTAGTGGTTAAAGCTTTCGCTCATCATGTCGAAGACCCGGGTTCAATTCCCGACATGGGTACAATGTGTGAAGCCCATTTCTGGTGTCCCCCGCCGTGATATTGCTGGAATATTGCTAAAAGAGGGGTAAAACGATACTCACTCACTCACTATCAAATCATGTTACAGTTCTGTATTTATTTTCAAAAAATAAATATTTGCAAACCAGTCATGTGAGTTGTGGTGATGTGACAAAGATGTCTTCATTCCTTAACTAAGTGTCATCAGCTTAATTGTAGCTGTACACAAGAGGCTGGTGCCATGTGCTTGCACTCATCAGCTTACTAGTGAGAGTTATCTCCCCTATCTTTCTTTGGCTGAGGCCTATTTAAGGATGGGGCCTATTTAGGGTTTAGCTAATGCCAAATGTATTATATCAACCTGGTTTAGAGCAACAACTATTTCTTGCAAAGTTTTGTACAAATTAAGTGTTGCAGGACTTATCGTATGGTGATTCCAGTACCCATACTCCGAGTTTATGAAGTCATATCGTGACATGTTCTTATGTGTTTGTGTTTGGTTCCAGTTGATTGAGAAGAAGATAAGCAACTTTATCGGCACCGCCGAGGTGATGGTGCAGGACAGACACTATGACTCTGTCCACATCCGCCGAGAGATTGATGTGCTGAAAAACAAATGGAGTACATTCCACACCAGCGTGCGAGACTATCGCCGCCTGCTTGATACCTCTATCCAGTACTTCACACTCATCGAGGAGGTGAGATACATATATTTCTCGGCCCTGTCCCACAAAATAATCTGAAGTCTTTGTTGAAGTGTCACTTTCGAAGGGGATCCTGTCACTACAGTACCAGGGAGTATTTTGCATGAAGGGACTGATTTTTTCAAAAGTGATGTTGGCGACTAATTATCTTTTTTCCGTGCATTCTGAGGATAAGCTGTAAAAAGTACAATGTTCCTATTTGTAATAATCATTAAATGATATGTATTGAATTAATATACAGATTTGTATTTTCTTCACTTGTGTAGATTTTTATTCACAGACTTCCATCTTTCATGAATATGTTCAAAGGTTTTTGTCATGAAATTGATTTTTAGTATGTGATGTTTACTGGGAATGTCATAACAGGAAAATACTTCAGAAATACATGTGATGGTTATTCACTATTGATGACCTATGCCCATACCTTGTTTCAGTGTGAGACTTGGATGAAGGAAGGTAGTCACCTGCTGATCACCATTGGTCGCAGGTCGACTGAGTGCCGCAACCCACAAGAAGCCAACGAGCTTATCAGGAAGTTAGAGAAATACGTCGAGGAAGGAAAACCTCTACAAGAACAGAGACTGCAGAAAGTCTCAGAACTAGCAGTACAACTATATGGTAAGTTCAACAGCACATTTTACCATCATCTGATTTAATAGTAAGTGTTATGGCCTGGTGGTTAATGTGTCAACATCTTATAGATACAGGTTGGATTCTCATGGAGAATATCACACTCCCTCACTCACTCACTATTTGGTTAAGTCTTGGTGCCGATTTGTGTCTGGATTAATTGTAAATATGTAAAGCCCAATTAATTCAAACACCCTATTTTAGTCACACAAACATTTACGAAATTCACAACATAGCTTATGAAACATAGAAAGAAACATCTTAGAAATTAAAAGGACCCTGAACAGGATACCTCAACATGTCAAGTAATGTTTGAAATATTAATATTTACATATTAAACATTAGGGAAAAAAACAGTGGTAAGGAAATAGCATCTGTTGTTTGACTTTGAATATTATTAGACATATAGGTATTTATTTATTCTGCTTTGTAAAATGTACGCCTTGGTCCTGTTCTGCAAAACAGTCTTAATATACTACTCAAAAGAGTGGCATTACAGATTAACTATAGTAAGTAAACTACGGTTATAACAAACTCAAAGGGACCACTAATCTTAGTTGGTTATAATCGTAGTTCGTAGTCCTTGACTTCTTTTGAGTATTATAATATAACTGTTGTAGATCGTTGTTAAAAGTACAAGAGGTAGATAAACTTGGTCCTGAGTGCTTTGTGGTTACTGTTGCAGGTTATTATCATGGCTCTGTGTTCTGTTTACAGGTGAACAGGGTCCCAGCAAGATCCGCCATGTTGTGATCCAGTATCAGGATCTCATGCAGTCGTTTGAGCAGGCCGACAACGAACTGTCCATGCTCAGAGACAACCTAGAAGGAAAGAAGGTACGACACCCTCAGTCATGGACATGCAATAAAATGTAGATTAATTACATTTGGTCTTTTCACTATTTGATCAAACATGAACACATGCTTATGATGTTGTCAGAATCGTACAGTGCCCTACGCTTATTGCAGAGATTTCTAATGATTATCAAACGTTTTTCTGTTGCTTTTGTTTACAGAACGTATTTATTTTGGAATTTATAAGGGGGAACGGGTGGCCTAGTCTTCTAAGGCACCGCCATTCGGTGTGCAGAGTTGCGTCCCTTGGGTACGCCAGAAACCTATGATTGTGGGTTCGAATCCCGGTTCGCCCCCATTATGTTTCTAGGTTTGTCAGCACCATACCCGTGATCGTGGGTTTTACAAGTGGTAAAATGTCTGAGACCTGCATCACTTTGGGCTTTCCTCCCACATTAAGCTGGCACGCCGTGATATGACTGGAATACAGTTAAAAGCGGCGTTAAACCCAACTCACTCACTATGAATTTATATTCATGATTTAATTATTGACAAAAATATGTTTGAAATTCTCTTGACATTTATTTCGTGACAATATGTTTGACATTAACTTTATGTTTTATTTAATTATAACAATATGTTGGACATTCATGTCACATTTTAATTTGGGACTAACAAAGTTTTTGATATTTGCTTCTCATTTTAATTAGTGAGTACAAAATCTCTGACATTTACTTTAGATTTTGGGGACTTAAAATAAGTTTGACGTCTCCAGTGTGGCAGTATGGAAGGTGTAGAATACAATGAGATTGTTGCAACTGTTGTTGCTTGATTGCAGCAGCCGGTGGAGGAGAGCATGCAGCAACAGGCTGCTGCCCCTGCCGCCGCCCCTCAGTACCGACCACCCCGCATCACACAACACCTCAAGAATGCTGAGGTGGTAGAAGGAACAAAGTGAGTACCGGAATCGTTAATGTTGCAGTGATAATCGCACCATAAAGTTGTAGGCAGACTGTGTTTCCTAATGTTTGGATAGTCCTATTGCTAGGGTGATTGCTTACCAAGCATATTATATGAGTTCAGTTCTCTGTGTGAGTACTTTCTTGATATTCCGTGGGGTGTTGGGGTTGCCTGGTATTCACCGTGTGGATAATAAGCGTGAAACCAATTTTGGTGTCCAATGCCATGATATGGCTGGAATATTACTAAAATTGCCTAAAAAAACCCTCACTCACTTAATATCCTGGCAGTGTTGTCATTCTATTGATCCTTTCAGAAAAACATGAAAAGATTAGATAACTACATTACATTATTTTGATATTATTAAAGCTTTGAGGTGAGAGTACATTTAGCTAATGCGTTAAAGCATTGGTTTGCAAAGCTAAAGACATCGGCTTAATTCCCAGCATGGGTACAGTGTCTTGAGCCTGTGTGTCCCAAGCATGGTGTAGCTCATGTCTTTTTGAAGTTAGGGGCGGTCGGGTAGCCTAGAGGTTAAAGCGTTTGCTCATTACGCCGAAGACCTGGGTTCGATTCCCGCAATGGGTACTATGTGTGAAGCCCATTTCTGGTGTCCCCGCCGTGATTTTGCTGGAATATTGCTAAATGTGGGGTAAAACAATACTCACTCACTCACTATCGAATCATGTTACAGTTCTGTATATTTTTTCCAAAAATAAATATTTGCAAACCATGTGAGTAGTGGTGATGTGACAAAGATGTCTTCATTCATTAACTAAGTGTCATCAGCTTAATTGTAGCTGTACACAAGAGGCTGGTGCCATGTGCTTGCACTCACCCATGATATTGCTGGAATATTGCTAAAAGCGGCGTCATACCAGATTCACTCATTTCTGAAGTTAACTTCAAGTACCAGAATGAATATGTACACGTATCTAAATAAATACAGGTTTACAGATGGTATATTTTTCAGTCTGCATGTGTTGATCAGCCAACAGAAAGTTATAATGTCCTTTCTTTTGTCATCATCAGATTCACATTCGAGTGTCGTGTTGAGAGCGACACACCATCGGAAGCCAAGTGGTTCAAGGATAACTTACCTCTTGCTAGCCCTGACTATGAAACTCGCTATAATAATGGTCTAGCAACACTGACGATTGAGGAAACGTTCTCAGAAGATACTGCTCGCTACACGATCAGAATCACAAACATGGCGGGCACAGCCGAATCCTCAGCTCATCTCAATGTCAAAGGTATTCCACAACTCATACTTCTAGCTGTTTATTTTCTTGAAAAACAAAAACAGTTAACTGAAATCATCACAATGTCCAAAGTAAAGTGTTGGCGATTTGATATTTTCATACATCAGTTTCAAAGTGATGATTTGTTGAAACAAATAACAATAACTAAATACATATCATTATTACACATTTATTCTTGAGTATATGTTTTCCTTTATTTGTGCAATCTGTTACATACTTACATTTAAATTTAAGTTGTCATTTGAAAATTATGTTTTACATGCCAAGTATGTTCAAAGCTATATAATTAAAACTAAACTTCTTGTTAAAAGTCCACTATATGTATAAGACTTTGTCTGCACAGTGTCTAGACTAGACAGTAGATCTCTGTCAACTTTCGCTCCCTTTCAGCTTCTTTAGATTCCTATGAAGATACCTCATTTGTAACTACATGTATAGCGGATGTGTCGAATCTCTCCGACTCTTCGTGTAAGGATGTCATGTTGTATCCTCCATTTAGCATCCTGAGTCCAGTACTCTATACTGCATCCTCAACCCCTGTATATATATCATGAGGTCAATATAGGGTGGATACTCTTGCACGTCCTGGCAAGGCGAAATGCATTTGGATGAGATGATGAGGTTTTGTGGTTGTGGTGTATTGGATGTGGTGTAGGACCATCATTATAGGTTTTGTTGCTTAATATTATTTTTTCCTTTTTAATGTGACAATAAGTCAAGAATCTCTAGAATAATTTTTATGGTTGTGTTTGTAAATTAGCAAGTGTTTGGGGGCATATTTATCAAAAATGTTTGAATTTGGAAATTTGTTTGGATATTTTAACACAAGGGTCCCATTCCACAGAACGATCTTGGCATAAGATGATTGCAACTCACATACACTGACTGATGACGGTTGTAGCATTATGATCTCTTTGTGGAACAGGGCCTCTTTCTTGTGGTCAGCTGTTGACTGTTGGATACATGTGTACTCTGGTTATGGGACGTTATCTTTGGTTGTGGGATATATAAGTCATTAGTGATTTCTCATGCCCAGGTGGTTGTATTTCCTCTATACAAATCTGTACAGAATGTTTTGCTAAATTGTTGCAAAGACTGAAGACTCACCTGTATGTATAACACTACATCAGGCATCAGGGAGTAGAGAGTAAAACTGTTGTTATATAATCAATGGTACATGACCTGAAGAATCAGCTCACAAGTTATTTGAATGAGGTGTAATATTTGGCTGGTTTATCTGCAACCTGTTATTCATTTCAACCAAGCAATAATGACAAAAGTCTTATTTGAGACTGGGCTCAGACAAAAAAAAATACTTCCAGTTCACTAGCTTCATATCGGACTCATGCAGTCATCTCCGACATGAAATTTACTACTTTGAGGCAACTGGCTCCAGAGTTGTAATTTTCTTCCCCCAGTCTGTGCTTCGTTCTAAAACACTTGAGCTTTCAAATGAGTATTCTGTGTCAGTGACAGCCTGGTGGTGTAAGAATCTCAATCTGTATGCAGAGTTATGTCCCTTAGATGCCTTGTCACGTGTTGGAGTCCAAAATTTGTCTTGTGAGTTTAGCCAACATGGTAAACATATATGACCTGCGTCACTTCAGGCTTACCTCCCACATTAATCTGGCACACCCTCAAGTGAGCAAAATGCTGTTCGAAGCAGCATCAAACCCATCTGAATCCCACTGCTTCACTGTTGATCATCCTCCCTTACAGAAACGCACCAGCAAATCGTTCCTCCCGAGTTCATTAAGAACCTCAAGTCAGTGGAGGTCATCGAAGGCTCCTCTTACGCCTTTGAGTGCCACGTTCAGGGTATCCCATCGCCGACTGTCTCTTGGTACAAGGACGAGATTAACGTTGATAACTCTCCAGACTTTGTCATCACAAAAATCAATGGCACGTGCTGTTTGAAGATACGTAGAGTGGTACAACACCATGGTGCTCGATACACATGTCGAGCCTTGAACCCTGGTGGCGAATCGTCCACATCAGCTCGTATGACCGTTATACGTAAGAGGATTAAGATATTGGCATGGTCGTGTGTGTGAACATTAGGGTGCATGTTCTTTACAGAACAAAGGCATGTTATGAATAAAAGACAACATTTTTCAACTCATGAAAATGTTTGTTTCAGTTGTACCTTTAACCAACCATCACAAAGTTTTGACTGTTTGATAAAAAGCATGATAATGTTTTCTTTAACAAACATATTATATTTGCGTTAGAGTGAGTTAAAATATTTGCTTCTGCAGTATCTAAACCATATAGAGATGGTACTTATTCATAGGTTAATAACTACCATTGATATTGTAGAATATGAATGCATGACGAAAGCTTGTACATAAGATGTGGTGAAATATGAACAGTCCCTATTAAATAACACCTCCTATGCAACCCTAACACCAAACAAACAAAATAATCATAATAATCATACGTTTTCTCCTTTCAGTTTCTGCTCTCTCCCTCTGTGCATGCACTCTTGTACCCTTGATATGCTCTTTCTCCCAGTTGTATTGTGATTCCCCAAAGATCTTTTTTTAAAATTTGGTTTTGACATGTTTGATAAGGAGATAAAATTGTGTGTTGTGATTATGCATCAATCAGATATATGTAAATAATTTTTTCATTTTCTTTGAATATGAGAAATATTATCTCGGTTCACAATTATTACCACGTAACAATGTAATATAATACAGTCAACTATCAAATGTACAGCAGTTTTGGAGTCAGTAGCATATCACACAACATTGCACACAACAGTGCTTTAGAAAACAGTACAGTGCTTTAGTACACAGTCCAGTACAATGTTGTACACTTAGCCTTATGTTGTGCCCTGCATGACAATGTTGCACAGTGTTGCCCTCTGTTGCAGCTCTCCAGACACCAGTGTTCCACCAACCCCTCCAGGACATGACTGTCCCCGAGGGCAAGGCGTTCCGCCTGGAGGTCCGCTTCACCGGATCACCTGCCCCCGAGGTCCAGTGGTTCCGGGGGATGGACAGAGTCATCACATCAGGACTCTTCAAGGTAAACACTTCAATAACATATTGAATACTTAAAGTATAAGACTAAATCATTGGAAAAGGAACACATGCAAAGTATAGTATTGAGATGTTAATATAAATTTTAATGTAAATATGATATATCATGATATTTTTTTTCTAGTCTTTTTAGGAATTTGTACTATTGTTTTTATTCAGTTCATGGTTATTATGGGATGTTATCATTATTTAGGTTTCTAATTGTTCTAATTTGTGACTTTCAGGTGACTGTGGAGGTCAACTATTCCTGTCTGGAAATAGCTGAGGCGTTCCCTGAGGACTCTGCCCAGTACACTGTGGTTATCAAGAACGCAGCCGGAGAGGCTAGAACACAGTGCAGGATCACCATCGAGAGTTTCTACTCCAGCACTGGGTCAGTAGGGTTCAAAACATTCATTGATTTTTGTAGTTTTTAATATTTTCTGAGACATCTGCATTTCCCAATTCATTGGAATGACTTGCAACAAGTCAAGGAATATTCTTCGTAATATGTATAGAAAATATTTCTGATGAGATATGACACCTCAGAATGACTTGTCAGCGTCAATCTTACAGCGATTCTCTTTTGTGAATTCAGTTCTTGGATTAGCTGATGTCACTGTTGTTTAGGTAACGGGATTCTTGTTGAGGCCATATTGTAGAGCAGATCCAGATACTGTATTCGACGTAATAAGAGCCCCGCTCTATTAAGCGCCCACGGCGATATTTTCTAATATATCGGCTAGTGAACAATCCCAATTAGCATGCCTTCCGATTGATCAATGTACACAAGACTTATTTATTCGCGTAAAATATGCACTCGTGTGTTATATGCACCTTAAATACTGGCAATTAAATTCTGGAAAAATATATATGTCGTATATAAACATTTCAGGCTGTCAGCATAAACAACGAAATATATCTTTCAACTCTGTTTTTTTTTCACCAAAATAATATTCTAATGAGAGCCCCCATATTTCCAATTTTAAGAGCGCCCTGGGCGCTTATTGCGTCGAATACGGTACCACTTTGGTTAAACCAAAAGCATGGAAATGGTGCCGGCAGATTAAGGATGATGACTGGGACAAATCTAGACTTTATTACATCAAATACAGTAAGCGGAAACAAAAGGATGTACTTATTTGTATTTGTGTTGGTCAGTGAGGACATGTCTCAGGCCTCCATGGAGCAAGTGGCCATCAAGCCTCAGTTCACACAGCTGTTGTCCCCGACCAAGACAACCCCCGAGGGATCTCGTGTACGTCTCGACTGCATCATTGTCGGACACCCAGAGCCAGAGGTAAGAACCTACCTCAATATGCAGCAGTGGTAGATTATTTCACACAAGAATTTAAATCAAATTTAGAAAGTGTGAGGTTCTATGATAATCCTTCTCTGTGCTAGGTGATCTGGTTCCACAATGAGAAGCCCGTGAAGGAATCAAAGGACATCCAACTCCTGTTCGAGGGAGATCGCTGCACACTTGTCTTGAGAGAAGCTTACCTTGAAGATTCAGGAACATACAAATGTGTCGCCAGGAATGACCATGGTCAAGCTGAGAGTGGCTGTAAACTTCATGTTGAAGGTGAGTGAAATTTAATTTCAAATCATTCACTTCCAAATCTTCATGATTTCATGCATCTCGTTTCATATGCACCTCAGAGTAATATGGTTGGGCTCTTAGTATAAGCAAATATATCTTCTTCATCATCTTATGCAAATTTTGTGTTCAGGATTTTACGATTAGTCCATAAATCATAGCATAGCTGAACATGTTTGCCAGTGCTTATATTCTTACTCAGGCTCTTCCTTAGGGTGTTCCAGTATCACCTCCATCATCATCAATCATTTACATCTCTCCTTTTCCTTTTCCCCACAAAGTTAAGAGAATTTATTCTCGTGACTCTGTAGCACTCAGCGAGCTTAGTGACGCGTCCGTGGGCGAGCTGTCACCACCCAAGTTTACCCAGCTGCTCAAGGACATTGCTGTGAATGCTGGTCAGCGAGTGTGTCTGCAGGGCCGTGTGACCGGTCACCCCCTTCCAGAAGTACAGTGGTTCAAGGATGACCATCCTCTACAGAGCTCACCAGACTTCCAGGTACAGCAGTTGAAGGAATAAATTTGAATTTCGAAACAAATAAGAATATATATGATGATCAGTTGTTTCAGAATATTTACTTTGCCTTTCTTTATGTTCTGGTTTGAATAATACTGTTGACATTAGTGTCTTATGAACATTAAAAAATTGTTCAAACAAAACAAGTCCCTTCAAATATTTAAACAACCTAAGGTTTGGCCATTTTGTGTGTGTCAAGTGTCTATTGAATTCAATTTCGTTGATGTTGATGTTTTTTAAACAAAAAGATTTGAAACACATATGAAGACCTGGGTGCCGTTGTACTAAGCGATCTTAGCGCTTATATGATCGTAACTCCCATACCTTAATATAGACTTACAACAGTCGTAGTGCTAAGGTTTGTTTTGTACAACGGCACCCAGGTCAATTGTATTTCTTCTTTACGGATATCCTTGGTGACTATATCAAAAGGCTGGAGGGAAATTGTAAAATATCTGCACGATTTGAGGCTAACTTCCACTTGGAATGAAAGCTAAAAGAATTTAAGAGGCGCACCACTTTCACATATGTTTGAACATTTGTAATATTTAAGGTAGACTCAACAATAAAACTGCAAAATATGTTGATATGCTAAATATAGACACCTCATTGTCCTATCCCAGATTACTGCCTTTGCTGATGTCCACTCCTTGACCATCCAAGAAGCTTTTGAGGAGGACAGTGGCACATACATGGTGAAGGCTGTCAATGTTGCTGGCGAGGCCAAGTGTGTCTCCCAGCTGCGTGTCATGCCTTCCACAGAACCAATGACCACGGTGCGTCGCACTACCACCGAGACTCGCGTGGTTCATCGTGAAGAGATCACACAGGCAGCACCAGAGTTCAAGAAGCTCTTCCAGGACATCAACGTTAGGGCTGGTGAATCAGTCACACTGGAGTGTATTATCACTGGAAGTCCCAAGCCAAAGGTTGGTGGATGTTTGTTTCTTGGTTAAGGATCTCTTTTGGTTGGCAGATTAGGTCCATGTTTGCTGTAGGGGTCATTTGTGAGGATTGGTTGGTCACAATGGGTGTTTTGGGCCTTGTTCCGTGATTTGTTTGTTTGTTGTTTAACGCCACACAGCAGTATTCCAGCAATATGACAGCGGTCTGCAAATATTCAAGTCTGGACCAGACAATCCTATGAATGACATCATGAGCATTGATCTGTGCAATTGGGATACGATGACATGCATCAACCAAGTCAGCGAGCCTGACCTCTCAATCCTGTTAGTCGGCTCTTACGACATGCATGGGTTGCTGAAGACCTATTCTTACCTGGAATCTTCATGGGGCTCCTTGTTTCAAGAAGCAGCCTTCAGCTATTGTTAATGTTACAGTATGGGAGTTATCCGATCCTGCCTGATTGTGTGACACTAGTGATGGGTGCTCATGCTCTCAACCAGTGGTCTGCCTGGCCCAGAATTTGATCATTTACAGGCGGCTGTGATATTGCTTGATTAATGAGTGAACATAAAACAACACTCACTCATTCACCCTTTGGATGACAATGATAATCTTCTGGGATGGTATATTACACATTTTGTTCATTTTTGATGGGTTTATTGCTACTCTCTCATGGTCAATTCAGAAACAACAACTTATAAGTTCATATTCATAATCAAACATGTCTATAGTCAACTCAAACTTAATGGTCATCACACAATACCATTATGACACTTTGTTGTTCCAGATCCAGTGGCAGTTCAACGGTGAGCCACTGGTCTCCCAGGACTACAACATGACCATGGAGGGAGACACCTACAGACTCATGATCCCCGAGGTATTTGACGAGGATGCAGGCCGCTTCAGTGTCACAGCAGAAAACAACCTGGGTAAAGCCACCTGCTCTGCCCAACTGACAGTAGCACCAGAGCTGCCCAGCACGGAACCTCCCACGCTCCAGATCCGCAAACACAAAGTTAGGGTGGAGAGAGAGGTTCCCATGGATACATCTGAGTCCACCACCTACGAGGAAGTGTAAGTACTTCCACACAAATGTAGTATAGTTCCATTCTCATATGAAAAATGATAAGATATTGGCAAACAATCACAAAGGAAAACTATCAACTTTCCCTAATTATATCTTCAAATGGGCAGATTTCTTGAGGTGTGTATTTCTGGGCACTAGATTATACTTGGTACTCTTGAGCAAATTCATTTTTGGCACATAATTTTATTTAATCTCTGTGCCTGATGTCTATTTGCAGATTTGTGTAGTTTTCACTCATGTACTATTGCTAAAAATACTATTAAATCCACCAGAGCCCTTTGCAAAAATTATATCTAATTTCATTCACAAAATGTTCAGGCAAAGAAAATCTGCATCTCTTCCCTAACAATATAATCATAGCAATATTTGTATTCTGTTTTGTATGTCAATGTTTTAATTAGTCATGTTCATGTTTTGTACCCTGCCCCCTGTGGGTGTTTTGTACAATAAATATTCTTCTTCTTCTTCTTCTTCTTCTTCTTCTTCTTCTTCTTCTTCTTCTTCTTCTTCTTCTTCTTCTTCTTCTTCTGTATTGAGACTACCCAAAATGTAAAAAAAATTCAGTCAGTAACTTTACAGAATTATTTTTATTTTTATTTTTATTTTCCCATAGAACCCGAACTGTGACACAGACCGAGACGCGTCTAGAAAGGATGATCACTGAGATGCAGGATCAGACGTATGCCCCTGGCACGGAGCACTTCGCCACCACCATTACCACTGGTGTCGAACAGCAGATGCCCAGGGTGCCCTCACACGAACATTTCGCCACCACGATCACCACCGACCTGCCACAAAAATATCAGCCGGTGGACCTGACGATTGAAGTTCCTGTTCCCCCTAAGTTCCTTCAAGCTCTGAAGACAATCACTGCCATGGAAGGAACACGAGTCATCTTTGAAGGTGTTGTAACAGGTGAGTTTCATTGAGATGATACTGAAGTAGGTCCAGGAAATACACACTAATATTTACTTGGTTTGGTTTGTTTGTTGTTTAACGCCGCACTTAGCAATATTCCAGCTATATGACAGGGGTCTGTAAATAATCGAGTCTGGACCAGTCAATCCAGTGATTGACATCATGAGCATCGATTCACACAATTAGGATACAAGTACATGCATCAACCAAGTCAGCTAGCCTGACCACCCGATCCCAATAGTCGCCTCTTATGAAAAGCATAGTCGCCATTTACGGCAAGCATGGGTTGCTGAAGACCTATTCTACCCTGGATCTTCACGGGTCCTAATATTTGTAGAATGTTATTTTGGTCCTCTGTCCCATGGAGATTCTGGTCAAGATATGCCCCCAGTAAGATCATGAGATCATAAGATCTAGCTTATAAGGATCAATGGGTGGCCTGGCTGATTGTGTGTCATGATGCTCCATCATTGCTCTTGCTATCAGTCACTGGTTTGACTGACCCAGGCTGCTGTGATATAGCTCAAATATTGCTCGCAAAGTGTGGCAAAAAAACAGCATTATTTCCCTCAGTTTAGATTCCTTAGACCACAGCTACTTCTGTATTTTTATTGAGTTGATTCTCTTACAGGAAAACCAGAGCCAAGTATCAAATGGTACCGTGAGGGAAGGGAGATAACTCAGCAGGCAGATTTTGAAATCTCCTATCGCCAGGGGCGTGTAACCCTGATAATACCCGAGACGACACAAGACGACGCTGGACAATTCAAGTGTACAGCTGAGAACATTGCTGGACAGTCCTCTAGCACAGCTGAACTCATTGTCAGAGGTAGGCAATGGCTGTCCCTGTCTGAATGTCTCTACATCTATTTGTTCCATTATTTATCATTGTCATTATGTTATGTGTATTGTAGTCATTTCTGTCTATACTTATCACTAAAATGTTGTCATATAGGTGGGTCTAAAGGGAACAATTTGGTGTTCAGAGTTGCATCCCTTAGTTCTGACAGGATCCTTTGATCATAGTTTCAAATTCCATATACTTTATGAGTCTTTCCTGGGATGTTGGGATAAAACTGAAAATATTGTTCAAAGTTGTTCTTACCTCACTCTCTTCATATAAACATCGCTATTGAAAATAAAGAGTGTGTCAACAATTGTTGACTCTTAAAATAAACTCTCACTTTACATCCACTGAGTAATAGGTAGTCTTTGTGTTTGCTTAGTACTCAAATCCAGGTTTGCATCCCAAATGGATAAATGAATGCCAGTTCTTGATTTAGCCCAATTAGCAGGCTTTCAGTTGAAGTCAAATTGACTACATTTGTAACTAAGTGTCTCACTGTCAGTATCAATCTTTTCTTGCAGCTTCTATGATTCCACCCACATTCACAGAGAAGCTTCAGAAGGTCCATGCTAAGGAGGGTGAGCCAGTCCGACTCACTGTCCGCGTGGCTGGAACACCAGCCCCCCAAGTCACATGGTACCGCGAGGGTAGCCGTATCGTCAGCTCTCCTGACTTTGAGGTCATCCAAGAGGGAGCTATCCACTCACTCTACATTCCGGAAGTTTTCTACGAGGACGCCGGACACTTCATGGTCCGTGCTGATAACCCAGCCGGGGAAGCTACATGCTCAACTCAGCTTATTGTGCCAGGTGATAATAGCTTAGCTTTATATGTCCTAGTTGGACCAATGTTTATGCCAATAGAAAATGTGATGGAGAAATGGTCTTGGTTTACAGGCTTTCAGTTGTAAGACGATCACTGTGTCGACTCCTTTTTTTCATTTTGTCTAGATAAGGTTTAAGCTGGTTTTATATGAAGTATTTTTTTAAATTGTGATTGATGGTTCTGCTTAGAATTTTATCTTATATTAAAATATGTATTTCTGTAGCTCCACCTAAAGAGAAACCAGAGCCTCCAGTTCAACGTGCCCCAGAAAGGAAACCAGTTTATGAACATGTGGAGCCATCTAGAGCTCCTCCAGCCAAGGCTCCAGTTTTCCCACCAATGGAGCCATCTCGAGCTCCACCAGCCAAGGCTCCAGTTTTCCCACCAATGGAGCCATCTAGAGCTCCTCCAGCCAAGGCTCCAGTTTATGAGCCATTTGAGCCATCTCGAGCTCCACCAGCCAAGGCTCCAGTTGTTCCACCAATGGAGCCTTCTAGAGCTCCTCCAGCCAAGGCTCCAGTTTATGAGCCATTTGAGCCATCTCGAGCTCCACCAGCCAAGGCTCCAGTTTATGAGCCATTTGAGCCATCTCGAGCTCCGCAAGTGAAGACTCCAACCAAGCCTTTCCCACCTCCTGAGGAGCCAACAGCCAAGGTGCCCAAACTTCAGCGCCCATCGGACTTCGCTGCCACACCTGCTCCAGTTCCAGCACAGGAACAGCAAATGTTCCGGGACCAGATTGACATGCAGGTCGAGGGCGAGCAGCAGCTGCCATCATTCGAGAAGAGAATTGCTCTGTTTAGTGAAGAACAGCAGGCTCCACCACTGCCAACATCAGATATTCCAAAGAAACCTATTCAGACTGGCAAAGAAAGGCCAGCATTTGTAGCGGTAAGTTTATGTTTATTTGAATACATTTACAAGATTAAGTACCGTATTCGACATAATAAGCACCCAGGGCGCTCTCAAAATTACAAATAGGGGGCTCCGATTAGAATATCATTTTGGTGAAAAACAACAGAGTTGAAAGATCGTAAGTTTCGTGGTTTATGCTGACAGCCTGAAATATACCTCAGATATATTTTTCCAGAATTTAATTTCTATAATTAAGGATGCATATAACACACGTATTATACACGAATAAATAAGTCTTGTGTACATTGAACAATTGGAAGGGGTGCTAATTGGGATTGTTCACTAGCCAATATATTAGCAAATATCGCCGTGGGCGCTTATTACATCGAATATGGTATGGTGTTTTGATATGCAGTTACTCAAACAATGTTTGTTCAGTTCCAAATTGAAATTAAGCTTGGTTAAATCTTTCTCCTATTCCAATGAAGTTTAGGTCACTGTCCTTTGCATGCCATGATGTTGGCTCTAGTAGTATTAGAACTGCCTCCATGGTCTAGTGGATAGAGCATCTGCCCAGAGAGTGGAAGGTCGGCCGTTCGATACCAAAAGATGTTTAAAGACGGTGCTTGTTGTTACCCTGCCTGGTGCTTGGCATTAGGGGGATAAAAAAAGACTGGTTAGCGCAATAAAACAGACTTTATTCTGATCTAGTACAAGCAGCCACACACACAAATACACACATGCATACACATCACTATGTAAGTGCAATAATCTTGAACCCGATGTTAAACCCCATTTCACCTTATCTCACTCCTAGTATAAGATACTGGTACATCATTTTGTTCTGACCCTAATGACACAGACATACCCCTGAGACATGCACACTTGTGATGATTATATGAAAAGAAAACATTTGTCAATAAATGGATTTTATGTAACAGCCTCTGAAGAACACAGAAGCCAGACAAGGTCAGAAGGTCGTGTTTGAGGTCAGAGTTGATGGCAGGCCTGAACCAATAGTGAAATGGTACAGAGAAGACGCATTGATCGAGACAAGCCCCGATTATGAGATTACCTCCAGCAATGGAGTTCACAGACTCACCATCCATGAAGTCTTCCCAGAGGATGCTGGAAAGTTCACCTGCATTGCTACCAATGCTGATGGAACAACCACATCAGAGTCTCGCCTCTATGTTGAAGGTGAGTGTTGGTGCATCTAACCCTAGAATAACAATTGTTATTTGTTTGGAGCTTATCAAACTGAATATCATGATTTATGTCTTCACATATCTGAAATACTTTTTAACATTCATTCATGCAAGTTATTTTTCAATTTAATAAATGAAGCCAGTCAGGAAACAGGAATCTGGTAGTGGATGCGGCCTGTGTTTTTGGGGGGTTATGGAAAAATAAATGCAAAATAATTGCTTGTGTTAGCCAAAGAACTGTCTTGGAATTTCTTTCATTTTATTTAGAGTGACATTGCATTGATGTAAGATCTTTTTACAGCTGCACCAGAGCCCATGGAGGTGACTCCGGCTCCGAGAGCTCCAGTCTATGCCCCACCACCTCCAGTCACACCAACCAAGGCAGCACCTCCAGAGGTGGCTCCTAAACCAGCACAGAAGGCCCCGTCGTGGCAGCCCCCGCCTCCTCCCGTCCCACCAGCAAACATCCCGCCATCATTTGTCCAGCGACTCAGTGATGTGCGACTGGTGGAGGGAACTAACACCAAGTTGGAGTGCCGTGTGCTGGGCAAGCCCTTCCCACAAGTCTCATGGAGGAAGGATGGGATGCCAGTGTATGAAGGTCCAAGGTATGGGAACACAGTGTGGTTCATCTTGCACACAAGTCTTCCAGTGTTAAGTTCTGTTAATGCATCCATGTACAGGGTATATCTTTATCCTATAATGGCTCCCTCAGCATGACAGATTAACAATAGTAATATGAACGAATTGGGTGGTCCTTCTGTCTTAATTACCTATAGTACTTGAAAGAATCGGGTAGTGCCTAACTTCATTTGTGAGATCAAGTAATGTCCCTTTCCTGATCATCCATTAGTTGATAAGCTTAGCAAGAGGTTTTAATCTAGTGAAAGAGTTTTCAGCAAAGTCAGTCTTTTGTTATTTTGAGAATGACTTTTCTCTATGGTCTGGGTCTAAACATTGAACATTCACACCAGTGAACCTGACACATTTTCTGAGTAATTTGGGTCATTTTTAACTGCCGATATACATGATGAATTTGAGCCAGCAAACAGAGTGGGTGTTTGAGGACCTTTTGAGATTGAATCAAATTATCTGGGACTGCTGTTTATCCGAGCCTATTCAATACTTTAACTCAACTGATATATTTGACATCAAAAGTTATTTAGGGGATTCCTTCTATATATGTCTAATATTCATATAATCTAATGAGCACTAAGATATATCACATAATCTTGCAGACACAAAATGATCAACGATGAAAGAACAGGACGTTGTACCCTCCTCATCTCCAAGAGTTTCTCGGATGACGAGGGAGAGTACACCTGCACTGCTGCCAACCCTGCTGGGGAGGTGTCCACCACGGCCAGGCTGCTGCCAGAAGGGCCCCGCTTCAAGGAGATGCCCGCTGATGTCCAGCCAAGCCCTGTCCAGGAGATGGTGCTGGCTGCAGATCAAGCTGCTCCTCGTGCCGAGAAGATGAAGGACTTCTACATCCCTCCAGGTCAACGACAGCTGGATCGTAGAGCCATCGAGAGACTGACATCAGAACCTGAGGATGAACCGATGCCTTATGAAAGAAGAGTCAGTGAAGCTGTGAGTTGGACAATATTTAATATTACAATGACAAGCCAATAGTAGGGCTATGCAGATAATGTGAACCCAAGGTGCAGAGGGGCGGTAGGGTAGCCTAGTGGTTAAAGCGTTCGCTCCTCACACCGAAGACCCAGGTTCGATTCCCGACATGGATACAATGTGTGAAGCCCATTTCTGGTGTTCCCTGCCGTGATATTGCTGGAATATTGCTAAAAGTGGCGTAAAACCATACTCACTCACTCACTCACTCACTCCCAAGGTGCAGTTTACACGTGTGTGTGTGTGTCTGTGTGTGTTTAGTCCCATATGCCAACACATCCACAATGGAGTTCAGGTCTTGATCTCATGACGTGATAAATCTTGCACAAGATTACAATACAGACTCTCATACCAATCTGCTTCACGTAAGTTTATCGTCCCCAAGTGCCTACATTGGTAAGAAAGTTCATTATGTAATTTCCCTTCTTCATGTGATGAAATACACCATATACATAGTTCAACCAAACAAATACATGCTTTCTGTGAATCATAACCTCCAACTGTATATGTACGCAGATGCCTTCATTGTGAAGTATTTTGTGAAGTTCTTCCTGCATGTCGATTAACTTAGTGGGGCCGAAATATGAACCTAGACTCACATGCCATACTGGTTTCATACCTACATCTTTTGAAATCACTTTTGATATCCACTGCCATGATTTTATATCTTCAGAACCTTCTGTCATTGATCTCTAATGTCTAAGTTTAACATATCAATATGAGATGAATATAGCTGGGGATATTATATAAATATAAAATGTCAATGCCAGAGAAGACCAGTCTTGATTATCCAAAGAAACAGATTCCATTTGGCGTAAAAGGCAAAATAGCAGTGAAAGTTGTATGAATGGATCACTGAAAAAGAGGGAACCAGTCTTAAGCAAGTTAAAGATAAGGGACCTTGAAGATACATGTGTTTGACAAAGCTGTGTTCGCAGAGTTGAGGCTTGGCTTTAAACCATAATAATGAGACGTGGTCCAATATGGGTAAATCTGGCTTGTTTTATAATCAGTGTTATGGTAAATGTGAAGAAAAATGTAGATGTGCAATTGACATCAAGCTTCCTTGTTGTAGGAATTCAAAGTTTCCTCATTTGAGACACGTCTCATGACTGAGATTGAGTACCGCGAGGGAAAGATCCGCTTCAACAGTGAGACAGAGACCGAGTACGACACAGACCAGCCTGAGGACAGAGTTGGACCAACACAGACCATGGCTCCTCAGATCTCACAGACCCTCAAGGACTTCAGGCTCATTGAGGGGTCTGACGCCACATTCGTCTGCAAGATCATTGGCAGACCTAGGCCAAAGGTTAGTGTTATCTATACTATGACCTCTTATTGATAACTCATTTTTGTTCTCTCTGTAATATCTTATGTTTAACATTTTGGTAGCTTTGTGGTTAAAGCATTTGCTTTTCATGCCAAAGACACGGGTTCAATACCCTTTAAGGGTACAGTGTGTGAAGTCAATAGCTGGTGTCCCCGAGGGTGATTTTGCTGAAATATTAGGAAGGGATGTGGTACACCAAACTCCATAACCCTGGGATATCTAGAACACACCAGAATGTGTTAAACACAGTGGATTCTGTGATGTCTCTTAACTCACATCTATGGGGAGTCTGGGTTAGAGTAGGTCCCGAGTGGCCTATGGTCATAAGAGGAAACCCTATGGATTGGGTAGCTAGGGTTGATGTACTGTTTGATTTGATGTCATTGTACCCAACGGCGTGAATGATTACTCAAAATATCGATTTCTGATCCACACTCAATTATTTACAGGCTGACATTATATGGCTGAAATATTGTTGTTTGTGGCGATAACCAAAAAAAATAATTGTGAACATCAGTTATGAATCCATTGTGCATAACAAACCCTCTTTGATGCCTAGGAATTCAACAGGTATATGTAGTGTGCTTCATGCATTATTGCTACAACATGCCACCTATTTGAGTGGAGATTGCACTGTGTTATGCTATTTCCAGACTGCCTGGTACAAGAATGGCAAGCGAATCAAGCGCTCCAGCCGCTACGAGATCAAGTACACTGCTGATGGCTACTGCACACTGAAGATTCGCATTGCTCTGCCAGAGGACGCAGGTCACTACACAGTGCTCGCCGCCAACTCAGTGGGACGCAACACCTGCTCTGCACAGCTATATGTGGACAAAGTTGGCAACATCGACGCCACCTCCTTCGTTGCTCCAGAAACCCTGGAAAAGATCTTGAACAAGTAGGCCAGATTTTGTTAAACAAATTATTATCGACAAAATTGTGATACACATGTATTAACCGATTAACAGGTCTTAACTCGTAAATGTGGTCTGTGTTATAACCTTGTAATGACCTTGACCTGGTGTTTCAGGGGCACTGAGAAGGGCAAGAAGGGACCCGAGGACCAGGGTGGGATATTTGAAACTCACACCCGCCCCGTCTTCAAGAAAGTACCAGAAAACATGGAAGCCCGCGAGGGACAGACTGTGAGATTTGACTGCCTGGTGTCTGGCCGACCGCTCCCAGAGATGTTGTGGTTCAGAAACAACCAGCCAGTACATAATGACGACAACCATAAGGTAGGGGGCTTTAACAGTAGACCAGCTTCATCAGCAGAAAGGCTGAAGTCAAACAAAATAATATGAACTCTAATGCACTGGCAAAAACATCCTGCAGTAAAGTATTTTATTTCTGTTTTGTCAAGAGATAAATATTTTTACTATGGTTAACATATTTGATACATAATTGACAAACATAATAAGTCATTGTACTAGTTCATTGGATTGACTTGTCTTCTTCTGTTTTTTTCTGTCCTATGATAAGTGTTGTGTTGTGTTGTGTTGTGTTGTGTTGTAGTGAAACTTCAGGAAACAAGTCGTGTTGAAGCAATCAGAAAATAGGAAACAGGAATTTTTTAACTGAATTTTAAACTGATCCTTCATCCACAGATTGTGATCAACGAGGATGGAATTCACTCGCTGATCATCTTGTCCGTGACACGGCAGGATGCTGGCAACTACACCTGCATTGCCCGCAACAAGGGTGGCGAGGACACGTTTGGAGTGGCTCTCAATGTACTGGGTATGTAGATTCATAGAGATTCTCAAAGTTCTGACTATTTATAGATTAGACATGTCATAAAAAATGCACAAGTAATGTTGTAATCATAAATTCGTACTGACACGTCTCAGGTTTTATAATTTTGATTACATCCTTATCTTCCAGAGCGTCTGCAAATGCAGCACCCCAAGTTTATTGATCGCATGCAGAACTACACTGTACGGGAAGGTCATCCTGTGACCTTGACCTGTCAGGCAACTGGTGTCCCCACCCCAATGATGAGCTGGCAGAAAGAGGGCAAGATGCTCACCCCTAACAAGGAATACAAGTAAGTATATATCTGTTATAAAGTGTAATGCTTAATTGTGACCTTGTATGCTTTGATCAGTTTAATAATGATGACCTCAGGACTTCAGCTTGATGAGTGATACATTGGTTAATTCGGTATGAAACTGTGATGGTTTATGAAAATTAATAGTGAATAAATGTTAGATTATTATTGAAAAAGGGTTTGGACTCTGACATTTTAGATGATGCTTTGCTTATTATTGATGTTTACTTCCAAGGTAGTAAAGAAAAATAATATTCTTGTAATTGCCATTTCAGGATTGACACTGAAGGTGGAAGGTCATCTCTGATCATTGACCAAGTTGTGCCCTCGGACAATGCCTGGTTCCAGTGTTCTGCAGTGAATGTAGCAGGCACTGCCACAACACGAGCAAAGCTGGTCGTTCAAGGTGCGTCGGAATTAACAGCTTCTTTGTACTGTTACTGTTGATACCTGTTCATCAACATGTTCGTGTTGAGCCTCATCGGCCATTGGGATTCCATTTCTGAATCGGCCCTCCGAATCCCATGGTAGAGTTAAGTGAGGATGAGGTGGTTTTACAGTTTGTGTCCTGGCTGACTGTGTGTCACTGTGTCCTTGACATTGATTTTTGCTCATGCTGTCAACCACTGGTTTTCTGGCCCAGATGTAGTTATTAACTTTGATACATCTGAAACGTTACTGACTTCAGTGTAAAACAACATTCACTCACTCATACAATTCAAACATTTCTGTTTAAAATGAGTTTTGATCCCTTCCAGTTGAAGCCAAGCAGCAAAAGCCTGAAAAGAAAGTCACCTACCCCAAGAGAACAGTTTCACCGTAAGTATCTACTTTCCTTTGCCAGTCTTGCACAGGGTGTTCAGCTTGAACTTCAGGCTTGTGTAGAGTATACCACATAAGCATCAGCTCAGGAAACACCAGACATGTGTCATACGGGATCCATTGTTGGAAGACGTCTACCAGAATGTATGGCCCAAGGAGGGCCATGATGTATCAGCAGTGTTTTTTTTATTGAAAAGTATGTGAGTTTCGGATGCTACCAGTAGCTTACCCTTCCAGCAAACACCAGGGCCCACTTGCACAAAGCGATCTTAGCGCTAAGACTATTGTAAGCCTATGTTAAAGTATGGGATTTATGATCATCTTAGCGCTAAGATCGCTTTGTGCAAGTGGGCCCTGGTGTTTTCATAATTATTTTGCCTTAAATGCCCTATGGAATCTGTCTTGGCAGATATTCAAGACTGATTAGGCTCTGGTGTTGACATTTTGAATTTGTTTGGTCCCAGTGGACTGGTGATAGGTGCAGATCATTTGTTGGGATGTTCAGATGTTGTGCATTGATGGCATCTGTTTCAGCTGTTTTGTTAGTCTTCTGGCAGTTGATCCTTGACACTCTGTTCATACCCATGAGGAAAAATTGATCGGGAGAATGTGTTATACGTGAAATGCCTTGAGATTTCAATGCTACAGTTCCTGGACTGTTGTCCAGATTGTCCAGATTGTCCATCTTCTGTGACAGGCTTGTGATTGTTTGTCGTGTTCTCCCTGCAGTCACTATGACATTCAGCCTGAAGGCCCTGTGCAGCAGATCACCTACGTGAAGGATGGGGATAGCGCACTCCTGCGATTGGTCAAAGAGGAGGATGCCAGAAGGTGCGAATTATGCATGTGGCATGGATTTTTGTAGGAAAGGCAATCATGGCCAGTCTGCATGTGTTCAGGTCCAGCTCAACAAGGAGCTTGACATCTACCACAAATTATTACTATCAGAAATGCCTCATATATTGCCTGAACTATTTTATGAAGAGGACTGAGAAACATGCTGATGAAATATTGCTGATTATGACGATGCCATTGATATAAGCCATTTTGTTCAACCATTTTCCTTTGGAACTATTTCTTCAATGATTCAATGATCTTGTGTATTTTTCCTCAAAACTGCATGTGTAATTCCATGTTAATGAAGAACTTCCTGATTTTACCTCTCCTACTAATGTAAGGAAACAGTCCAGTCCAGCATGATATTTTTCAGCCCCAAAACAAAAATTAATTTGACTCAGGTAGTGTGACAGATTTCTAATGGTACCTTATTCAACATCCAGTTACTATGATATCCAAGAGAAGGGGCCTGTCCAGCAAATCAGTTATGCCTCTGAGACGGAGAGGGGTACACTTAGGATTAAGTCCCCTCCTGGCATGGACAGAGAGAGGTTGGTTAAGATAGTAGTCGGTTGTGCTGGTGTGGCTTATGGGGATGTGAACTGTAGTATTGTCTGTAATCTAGCTGGTGTGTCTGTCTCTAGGTTGTTGGCAAGTTTAGTAAATATATGTTGTCATAACAATCTAGTCTCGTAAGTTTACTGAAATACATGTTGTCATAATTTGTTGAACTAATTAAACCTATGTTATTATGATTTATCAATAAAATCATTAATTTTTTATTTATTTTTTTAAAACTACTAGATAATTAGGTCTTAGATATAAATCAGACTTAATGGAATTAACCACTATCACTAATTCATTTTTAGATAAAATGGTTTCTTTTCTTAACCATAATAAAATTGATTAAATTGATTTATTAGACTGAAGGCATGTTATAATTAACAGGCTGACCTTTATTGTTCTAATGGCCTTTAAAAACAATTAGTTTTCTTGTTGGTTATTAATGTCACGTATTAGTTGTTATTAGTATGTTTGTGGTCAAGATTATTTGATTGATATTTTCTTTGATTGTAGAATGTATCCTTCAGATGTCATGATGTTAATTAAATAAATTAATCAATCAGTTTGTTTTCTCAGTAAAAGTTTCTATATGAGCTATTGACATAGGAATATAATATCAAGATAGTTTCATATCTTAGGATCAAATTATGACTATATGTGGCATGCTGGTAAACCCCAACAGCTTCATGAATTTTTTTTCTTTTAAATTTTGTTTATTAAAAATTCACACTGAAATGTTAGATGTCACAAAAAAAATATTGATATTTTTCTTGTGGAGTGACCTCTGTGTGATTTTCTGATTCTCTTGAGTGACCCCTAACTTGTGTTTCTCTGTGTGTAACAGCAGTCCTGACTTATCTCCCTTGATCTCCACCCCTGGGGAGTACTACTCCACCCCCAGGGGACGACTGTACGACCCCATCCTTTCCTCTCCTCCTCCTACCCCAATGTCCACTGATCTGTCACTCGAGGACTTTGGGATCATTGTCAACAGGTTTGTCTCCTTCCTGCATGGCACCATACTTCAGAAACAAGTCTGTACTTCTCACTTGTGTGTGACCAAACATTCTGGTTGCCTTTCCATGTTGTCAGTCAAGTGAATTATTAACCTGTTTGGACCTTGAACTATTCTGCTGAAGTTAATGTACATGTTTGACCACAGGCCAATTCAATGCTGCATGTGAAGAACTGCAACCCTTGTGTTGTTCGTATTGATGACATTGTCTACTAATGAACAATGAAAGAATTTTGTTATCAAATTCAGCTCAAACTTAATATTTTTGCATGGATCAAACATGTGAGATAAGTTTCTAAGAGAGTCTGTGTGGTTGCTAGGATGCCAGTTGAGGAGCAAATGCCAGTATCACCTGTCAAGGCTCCAAAGGCTCCAATGGCGCCACCCCCAGTACCAAAACCAGCTGCTCCAGTGGCACCACCAATGGAAACTGAGCAGGAGGAACTTGTTCTGCCCAGTGTTTCTGAAGCTAGGAGAATGTTTGACAAACCAGACGGTGCCCCACTGCCACCTCCGGCTAAGGTGTCGAAACCTCAGGCACCACCAGCGCCAAGACCAGTGCCACCACCTGTATCACCAGTGGTGCCTAAACCAGCGCCGAAGTTTGCAGCACCACCAGTGTCACCTGTGGTGCCAACTCCTCAGCCTGTCTTTGTGTCCACTGCTGAACCAAAGGCCAAGAAACCAAGAGAGATGTCGCCAAGGTGAACATTGCATGCACGAGTTTGTGTCAGAAAAGCTCATCTTCATGCATGCAAATGATTTCATACAACTTGGTCTCATTTTTATCTTGAGACATCTTCCCCTGACCTCCCCTTAGCTGTGCCAGGATCTGCTGGTGATAGGTTCAAGTCCAATATTTGACACCGTCATGATTCTTGGTCTGTCAGCACCATACTTGACCTTGAGAGTTTAACCAAGGTGGTAAATGTCCCCCATTAAGCTGGTATGCTGTACAACTGAAATACTGTATAATTCTGATTAAGACCCAACTGACTGACTCTTTTGACTGACATATATTTGTTCAGTTGAATACATATTAAGAAGAAGAATGTGTTAATTCATTGACTGTCAGCAAATATACATTCTCCTTTCCAATTATTAATTCTGTGGTTGATGTTTTGTTTCTTGCATGAGTTTCTGTGTAAGATGCGTCAAAAAATATTTGTCATTTCAATTTGATTTCAATATGCATTGTTGACCTTTGTGTTGACCCTCATTGATCTATGTCCATTTTGGTCCAGCTATGACATCCAAGAGACTGGACCTGTTCAGTTGATAAGTTATGCCTCAGACAACGAGAGTGGCTACCTCAGACTCGTAGATCAAGAGCCCATCAGGCCAAGGTTTGTCTGAGTAGATTATACTGCATGGTGTGAGAAGTAGATGACTGTAGAAACTGATGCTGTGTGTTCTGCTGATGGTGAACACTGGATGATTTTTAATACTGAGATTATAGAGATTAGACACCTTTGACTGCTGCTGGCATGGGAGTGAACACAGATGGACCAGTTCTAAACAATTCTTGTTAACACTGTGATATGTCAGCTTGATTGTGAAAATAGACCATCCTAATTGTTTGTCTTTAAGTTTATTAATTCTATTCAACCTGAGTGTAAAGTTGCAGCATGCCTCCACTCCATGGCTCTTTTGCATAGAATGAGCTAAGAACTCCCATACTTTGACATCGACTTACAATAGTCTTAGCACTAATATCACTGTGCAAGAGGCCTAGGCATGTTTGTAGCAGACAGTTGTTGATGCCATTGTAGCTTGTCTAGAAATTCTGCTCTTCTGGCAGTGTGGCAGTAGCATGATTTAGAAACCATGTGCCCATTCTCTAAAGTCAAAGTCATAATGTCTAGTTACATCTTTCAAAGCATGACAATTGGTAGCAGCTTGCATGGTACCAGCTTGCATGGTACCTGATATTTTCTCTGGCTGTGAATCTTACTCGGAAGCATGTACTGGAGAAGCATTCATCAAAGACTTATTTGTACATGACTTACTTGATTTTGAAGTTTGCTGAAGGGTACTGCATTATATGAAGTCACAGAACTGTACTGTTTGTGCATGGAGCATGTGTACATTCTGGGCCCCGTTCCACAAAGCGATCGCAGTCCTAAGACGATCTTAACTCCCATACTTTAACATAGGCTTACGATAGTCGTAGCGCTAAGATCGCTTTGTGGAACGGGCCCCAGGTCATTATTCAAACATTTTTAACAAGAACCATGTTTTATAGATGTATTCTACATAAAAGTAACAATTTACTGGTATTACTTGGATACATCATCATCTTCTCAATATCTCTTTCAACAATGTAAAAACCTGATGTTATCTGTGGCTGTAAAGAAATGTTACATGACACCTCTATGGCTGTATAGAAATGTTACATGACACCTCTATGGCTGTATAGAAATGTTACATGATACCTCTATGGCTGTACAGAAATGTTACATGACACCTCTATGGCTGTATAGAAATGTTACATGACACCTCTATGGTCATGTTTGCAGGAAGCAACCCATTGACAGGACTCCAAAGCCAGAAGTAGCACCTGAGCCTCAGAGAAGGTTAATATAAAAATCTCAGCATGGCTTAGAGCATGCATAATGTTGACCGTAAACTCTTGTTATTTCATCCAGATCCTAAGGAAACTGTAGATGTTACCGATCTGGTTATAAGTACATTACTTGACATCTAATTGGAGTTGCATCATACATATATGGTTGAGTCATGTAAGTTTTATTGAATGCTTATATCCTCATACTCTCTAGTTTAAATATTTGTTAGATCTACCTTTCATGCATGAGTTTGCAATGGTATATTATCTCCATAGGGATGAATATAGACCCAACTGGACCTGCATAGACTATGTGTTTACCCATAGCAAGCATGTAATAAGAGCAAGATTCCATAGCAGTCCCACATATAATGCATGTCCTATTTGTCCACTTCACTGACATACTCTAGGGATAGCATCAGTATATATATGCTACAAAAAGTCTGTAACAAGCATCTTCAGGACCAAGCTTAATTATAACAATCATTGAGTAGAGCAGTGATACAGGTGAGGAAAATCGAGGTTCCTGTTCCTTATTATATTACCAAAACATATCTGTAGTGTTCACAAATTACCACACAGACCACAGCCACTGGCTCCACCACCGCCGCCACCACCACCACCACCACCACCACCAGCACCACCTAAAGTGGCTCCTAAGGTGGCTCCTAAAGTGGCCCCCAAACCAGCTCCTAAACCGGCACCAAAACCAGCACCAAAACCGGCACCAACACCGGTTCTGAAACCAGTCACTCAGCCACCGATCTATGCCCCATCACCAATGATCCAGCCAGTGATTCAGGCACCACCACCAATGCGACCGTTCATAGTAGCACCATCTCCACGAGTGCCAATGATGGCACCGAGACCAAGAGCTCACTCAGTGCCAAGAGTGGCACCACCAAAGGCGCCACCCGCATCGATCCGTGTAGTGAAGTTGCCCTCCCCACCCAGGGAGAAGGTCCTTCCGCAGCCGTCACCAGTGGTTACCATGCCACCGCCACCCACCAAGCCACCTCCACCAACCATGATGAAGAAGGCCAAGGCGCCACAAGTGCCAAAGAAGCCTCAGAAGGTCACCTTCGTGCTTCCACCTGGAGAAAGGTGTGTGAGGTTCCCTTGAAGCTGCACCTGGCTGGTTTGGATTGACAATTAACATGGACATTAACATCAGGGAGTGTTCGCTGTTCATTAATCTGAGTGCTCCTGCTATTTTGGACATGGCAATTAACACATTGGACTGATTCTTTATTAACAGTTGTGTTCTCCCTGTGCTTACATTCATGCTCAAGATATCCAACTGATGGATAGTTGTGGAGCGATATGGACAGTTTAGCACATCCACATTATCCTTACTCTTTAAATGATTTCCTGTTTCCAGAAGATTTGTTCTCAAGCCTTTCTTTCCACATTCATCTGCTTGTGTGGTCCATTACCAGGACATTGAAATAACCCTCACAAAGTCTAATACTTCATGATGCTTATCTTTTACAATGATTTCTTTCCCTGTTTTCTTTCGTGTGGATTTCTTCTCGAAGAACAAGAAACAGGATATTTTTCCTTCACCGTCATGATACTGTCTCAACCACCAACAACCCTTGTGTGTGCATTTGCATGATCTTTTTGTGAAATATTATATGAGACATTTGTTGAATTCAGTCTTAGTGTATTGAGGATCAAGGAGCATGCTAATGACAGTCTGCGAGAAGTCATTCCACAGTTGCCAGGGCAGCAGGGCAGTTTAGTGCTTAAAGCATTACATTGGCTTGAACAATGCCGTGGACAAGGGTTATAATCTCCAGATGTTTACAATTTTTTTAGTCCATTCTCAGTGTCTCAAGCCATGATATGGCTCGAATAATTCAAAACTCAACCCACATATTCCACATATACAAATATTCCTTCCACCCTTGTTCCACCAGAAAAGAAACTTTGGCATGTTTTGTCAGATTCTTTAAATTGGTCAACTGTATAATTAAACTGTTTTTGTGAAGCAGATGACATGTAGTTTCAGTAGCAGGCAGTTTACTAGATTAACTTCCTATAGTAGCATGTGAGAGTTCATGTTTGCTGGACACTGTGACCAAGTCTTGCCAAGTTTGACTGATCATATTCTCCTCCGCTCAGTGAGTACGAGATCCAGGAGGAAGGACCAGTCCAACTCATCTCTTACGCCTCAGACACGGAATATGGGTCTCTCCGCCTCGTCAAGCAGGAGAAGAAGAGGTTGGTGTCTGTCTGCCCAACTTGCTGTGTGCTTCATCTTTGTTTTACATTTTGGAGATATTGAGAATTTGCATGGAGCTACAGTCAGCAGAATCGCCAAAATGTTCCCTCTGTGTCTTGAAGAGTTCTTGATGCTCAAGTGTTTCATTGTTAACTATGCATGTTTGGTGTTCACTATTTGCTTAGGGTCAGTTTGTGGCAGATATGTTTATAAGGGCTGGAACAGTAATCTGTTCATTGAGTATGTAAATTTTGCATGGTGTGTTGATGTTCAAGGTTTCCATGAAGGTATTCTTATAGAAGGAATGAGATGTAACAGGGTTTCTGTCCTGTTGAGAAAATTAATTTTGCATGAATTAAGTGAAGAGTTCTGGATTTGTTTTCATATGAGTTAATTCATAAACTACGAAGTAATTGTTCTCAGCAAAGGCATTGAGATATTATGATGCATGGAGTGTTGGCGTACAAGAGTTGCAGCAGCTTTTATGTCATAGAAGAGGAGATGAAAGTTGTGTGACAGTTTTGAACAATTTTGTACGAAGAATGTGGAAGATGTGTTGATGTATCTCGTTGCTGCATGATGCCACCAGATCAGACAGTATCAAGTGTTGATGATTGATCCTGAGCTATGCCTGATGGTACAAGATCAGACAGCTTTCAGGTGTTGATGATTGATCCTGAGCTATGCCTGATTGTACAAGATCAGACAGCTTTCAGGTGTTGATGATTGATCCTGAGCTATGCCTGATTGTACAAGATCAGACAGCTTTCAGGTGTTGATGATTGATCCTAAGCTGTGCATGATGGTACAAGATCAGAGAGCTTTCAGGTGTTGATGATTGATCCTGAGCTATGCTGGATGCTACAAGATCAGACAGCTTTCAGGTGTTGATAATTGATCCTATGCTGTGCATGATGGTACAAGATCAGACAGCTTTCAGGTGTTGATAATTGATCCTGAGCTATGCTGGATGCTACAAGATCAGACAGCTTTCAGGTGTTGATGATTGATCCTATGCTGTGCATGATGGTACAAGATCAGACAGCTTTTAGGTGTTGATGATTGATTGCTGCTGCTGCTTCAGCTTCAACTCATGGACAACAACTGACAAAAGAAACATGTTCTGTTTGAACTTTGAATTAATGTGTGTTGCATGTATTGTTTTCAGAATTCAAGATGGCTGATATCGCATGCTGATATTGTTTGATGTGAATTGAATTGTTACATGTGCAAATGATAGGAATACACTATATTGATGGATTGTTACGTAAAGGCCAACATACTGGTAACACAACTGTAGCCTTCTTGATTTATTGAGCAGAATTATAAAGTGTCTTGATTCACACCAAGGTAAAAAAGTGGCAAAGTTATCAGAAATCATTCTAAAGGTCAACTTTGGTGAAGGCCAAGTGAAATGAATGATTAAACAGGAGTTAACCAAAGTTATCATCTGTTTAGATTTGATTGATCATCTTTCAGACCTGAGCCCAGACCTCAACCAACATTTGAGCCAGTCACAGCCACATTCAAGGTCCCTGAGAAGGATTACAGGTAACTGGGTGTTTAACACTGTTTTACAGAGGGAACCTGGTCTAGAATATTATGTGCATAGGCTAAAACATCAGACTTCTGCCATAGATCTTGAACTGCTTTTTCAGGGTCCGAAAATGAGCTTGAACTGTAAGAGCTACACTTGTCATTCATGGGAATACCATGACACTGATATTATATTCCAAGTTCCCTTGGAGGATTTTTATAGACGTGTATATTGGTGATGGGTATATATTATATATATTTCCAACATTTTGTACAGTTATTCTACATTTTGTTCACCTGTTTGTATTGTGATATGTATTTATTATAAGATATGTTCAACAACTGGTAGTCTCGGGTCAATATTCCTGGTGTTTGAAACTGGTTGTAGATATGTATGAACATTCTGGTAACATATTGGTAATCTGGCACTATTCCTACTCAGACCTGTGGCACCATCAACACCAGTACCAACTGTTCAGAAAGTTGAGATGCAGATTCCACCACAGGCACCTCCAAGGTTAATTGCCATTCTGTTCTGTGTGATCCCTGTTTTGTACAAGTCCCCAATGACCTGAAAATTAACCAATTTGATAAGAAATGGTTTAATATTTTCTGATAAATATGATAAGATAAGAAACAGTTTTAACTTGGAGATAATCCATTAAAAATCTTTACTATCCTTTAAAAAAGTATGTAAAATTGTTTTGAAGTGCTTTTAATGAGAAGAATTGATTTCTTTTTTCAAACATGTTTGCTGTGCCTAATATCATTTCCTCAAAATGTGTGTCCGTAATATTGCACCCGTCAGAAACACATTAACAAAGAATTCTCTGCACCTGGCGTATTTCCATGAAAAATAAATCTTTTTTAGCAAACCAGCACCTCCACCTGTGTCACCCAAACCCTCACCAAAGAGGGTTCGTGCACGCAAACCTAAGCCTGAGGAAGAACCTCAGCCAATCATATTGCGACAAGATTCCTCACCATGGTGGCCCGAGAGCATTGATGTGCCTCATGCTGTAGACACATATCAGAAGGGGTTAGTTTCAAGACTGTTAGCCCTTAGCTGGAATGGACACATTTGGCCTTGAACATGCATCTGTGAATCATGCAGTACTTTGTCATGCTTTGTGGAAGCATCATGCTTGTTTCTTGGCTGAAGCATCGATTATCATGCTTGTCGTCTCGTCTTGACCATCATTGTGCAGCTTCTCGTCAGTGTTGTCTGAATATGCATCATTGGTAGTATTTGTATATGTCCGATGCATTGGTGCAATGTTCTAGAGGACCTTTGGAGTTCATTGCCTTTGTAGAGAGTCTGCTTTTTCACCCTGAGTTGAAGTAGAATGGTCTTGCTGTTGATGATCCCGAGAAACCAATCCAGCATCTTACTTCTAGAACCCTAGATTCAGTCTTCATAAAACCATTGAGTTTGCACATATATCTCCGCCATCAAACATCTTCCCTGCTTTAGATTTGAAGACATTTTGTTTAGTGAATTATTTTGTTTGTAGCATCTCGTGTAGATCTCATGTGGTTATGTGTTTGCTGTCATGAGGTCGAGGTACCCGTGCTTCAGTACCAGCATCAGTAGAGTTCATCTTCAGCGACAATGCATCACTTCATGTCCACAAGACCATTCACTGACTAGATTCAATGCTTTTGTGTCATATTGCAAGAATGCTGAATGGCATATTTTCAAAGCTTTTCATTGGCCAAGATGCTGTGTGTTTTCATTGGCTGAAATAGTTCTGCAGCATTTGATTGGCTGTATCGATCAGAATGACCTTTTTGCTGGATGACAACTTAGTTGATATCAATTCTTGTGTTTACTGCATGTCCAAGCACTGATTGACTGTAAAGCATCACAACGTTGCCTTGTACCCTGTGAAGCACCTGCTGAACCTCTTAGCACATCTGTTTTGTCCTTAACTATGAACATTGTTGTCAATAATTGAACTCTGTGTTGTCTTCACTCCATCGAAGCATGGAACCCTTCTCTCACCCCTTTTCCTCTTCATCAGCTATACATTCTGCACGTGATGGACCATTTTTTCCCATGCTTGTCTTAAGAGGCTGCTAAATGGGCATCAGGTGGCTGAAATGGCTGCAGAGTGTGGTCGAGGAATGCCCACCTGAGAAGAACAACTCTGTAGATAGCCAGGTGGTAAAGTGTTCGCTCACACCAAAGATCCAGGTTCCATTGCTACATATTTTCATGTGAGAAGCCCATTCCCGGTGTTCCCTGGATAGTTCTGGAATATTGCTGAAAGCTTTTCAGTTGTTCTTGACCAGATTGTGGCCAAAACAACTTTTCTTCCATGCACGCTCCATCAACCACTTGCTTGCATGGTCAAGGCAGGTTATATTGCTGATTATGGAGTGAAACACTATTTACTCACTCACTCATCCTGATGTCTTCTTGCTACCCTACCCTATGTTATGACTTCAATAAACCACACATATTAGTTCCTTATACTAAGGGGGCGGTCGGGTTGCCTAGTGGTTAAAGCGTTCGCTCGTCACGCCGAAGACCCGGGTTGATTCCCAACATGGGTACAATGTGTGAAGCCCATTTCTGGTGTCCCCCGCCGTGATATTGCTGGAATATTGCTAAAAGCGGCGTAAAACCACACTCACTCCTTATACTAAGCTACATGTATGTCTTGATATCATTTTAGTTGTGATATGGTATTAAAGTCCTTATTCCACCTTACAAGTGCAAACTCAGTATTTATATATTTGATGTTGTTGACATTGATGTTTTGAGTCTGTTCTAGAACTGTTCAAACTGTTTCAGATGTTCTTATATTCTTCTACACTCACTGAAAACGTTTTCTAAAGATCCTTATTGTTTAATTTCAACATGTTTTATTAAATTTTCTGAGCATACCTCTTTCACAAAAATGACTCCAAAGTGACTTGTCCATTTCAAAGGAATATATAAGCATTAGCTTTCAGGCTAAACAATTTAGACAGTTCTAGGATCTATTGAAATGAGATGTCTTTTGATGTGGTACTGTTTGTTGTACAACTATTTATATTGTATGGTATGATGTGTGTCGTACAGCTGTTTATTACCAAATACTTTCAACAGACCGCCAGTTATCATGACGCCAGCGCCACCTGAGATATCAAGCGCAATTCTACTCTTTGATGCGAGGTTCGGTCACAAGACCATGCATGGCGTTATGTTTGGAATCAAATGTTTTGTTTTCATTTGTTCCGACTAACATACTTTTGCCATCATTCATGAAATATTTCTGTTCCAAATTTGTCTCCAAATCCATTTTTTGTTTTTTCCTAATCTACTGTATTTTGTTCAACAACTGAACCCTGTTTTAGAACCCTTATTCACCTGACAAAGAATTAAATTTTAAACAATTTTACACAGGTTCTAAACAATATTCCTTGTTCTACCCACCATGAATTTTACAGACTGAAGATCTTTTTGTGATTCCCCACATCGATGCAATGTGTGAAGCCTGTTTTTGGTATCCCTGTGTGTGGTATGGCTGGAATATTGCTAAAAGCAGTGGAAAAATCCAACTCACTCTCTTTTGTTTAAAAATGATAAAGGAATCCATATTTGATATACCCAAACTCATGCAGTCCTCAGTTTAGTTCCATGTTGCAACTACCTGACACAATTGTTGAAGATAATAAGGATTATTGTTTATTTCATTTACGAAAGAAATTGTCGTTATCACACATTATTTTTATTCTATTTTTGGGGTTCAGTCTCAGCACAATTTGTTTGCATATTTAACAAACTGTGTTCATTTTTTAACTCTGAGACCAACTCATTTTCAGTAAAATATTGTAGGAGCACATTCATACATATTTTTATTTTAAGTTAAAGATTTATTTTGGTTTATTTTAGTTGATGATCTTCATATGATGGGAGGCTGTACTTAATATGTGTAACAATGAAATAATTAATTATGGGGTTAGTTTGAAAATATTATGTACCATAACTTTTTATGGTATGTATCCAATAAAAATATATCAATATCTTGTGATTAAAAAACGCCCATAAATACACATTATATGAAGATCGTCTTAGAAGCATTGCGAGCATGAATTTTATCATTTTTTTTGCAGATTAATACTAACAGTACCTAGTGATAAGAAATTTAATATTTTCTGATGTTTTTCTTTCAAAAACATTAAACTTCTAGAACTTCTAGATGCTTCAAGTCTTTACAATTTCATTCTGTAAATATTAATAATTACAAACTGAGTGAGTTAACCTGGCCACAAGATCTTGCTGTTGAGATGTTTTAATAAAAAAAATAATAGAGTATTGCTTAGAATTGTACTCGAATATATTCTTAAATAAGGACATAATGGTAGGTTCATGTCTTGTACAGAATGGTGTATTCTGTGTGTATTCTCCCAACAGTCAAAATCTGGACCAGGAGAGTGCTGTCCGCGAGTACATTCGTCGTGAGGGACAGGAGCCAGAAGCTGGAGATATCTTTGACAGGACGAAGCAACGTCCACCCAAGTTCAAGACACAGATCAAGAACCTGCTGACTCTCAAGGAGAATGACTCAGCACACTTTGAATGCAAGCTCATCCCGATGGGTGACCCGAACATGAAGGTCGAGTGGTTCAAGGATGGAGAGCCTCTCCACCATGGTGAGTCCATGGCCCTTGATGCACCTGATGCTGAAGTTTATTAAGAGTTGTGTCCCTTTATATTGTCAGGATCTGTGGATCATGGGTTGAAATCCCTGATTTTCCCAAATTAGGATTATTTTTGGTTGTGAGCACCATACATGATGATTTGGACAACGTTTGATTATCCAAAATAACTGATATTGACTTGAACATTTTGCTCCACATTTGGAGCCATGTCAGTTTAAGTGAAATTGATGTGCATCCTTTTTGCAGGCCACCGCTTCAAGCCAATGTATGACTTTGGTTTTGTATCCCTGGACATCTTGTATGTGTTTGCTGAAGACTCTGGCACATACACCTGCAAGGCCACTAATAACTACGGTGAAGCTACAACCATTGCCGACATCAAGTGCAGAGGTAGGGTTTAATATTATGTTGTGAAGAGTTCAAACAGTCATATTACAAGTGTTAGTCCTATTGAATTCTAGTGCAAAAAAAAATAAAAATTTGCAAAATATTTTTCTTTTCAAAATGTATTTATTTATCTTTTAGCCCGCAAGTCCATCATCATGGACACTCAACTGCCAGGAGAGGGCGCCACTCGTCTCTTTGAGATGGAAGAGCATTGGAGAAGGTGAGTTACTTCCCTTTATGAATACATTGTCAAATGCTTTGACGTTGCTACTTGACTACATGTAGATAGATATATGAATGTGGCATTTAGAAGCTGAAGTACTAATAAAGACAGAGGATACTATTGTTTTTGACATTTTTTTATTAATTCCATACAATGTTACAGTATAAATTGGCTTGATAAGGATATCATCATTTTATGTCAGAATGTATGAAAGCAATATTATGCTGTCTTAGTGTAGGGGCTCAGGGGTAGTGCAGTGGTTAAAGCGTTTGCTATTCAAGCCAAAGACAATTCCCCACATGGGTACAATGTGTGAAGCCCGTTTCTGGTGTCCCCGGCTGTGATATTGCTGGAGTATTGCTAAAAGCAGCATAACACCATACTCACTGATGTCTTGCTGTAAAACTCACTTGTGTTAATCTGTATACAAGAGAGTTTATTCTTTCTTGTTGTGATCATCATGATTTTGTGTCTTCCAGTGGTATGATGTTGGAGGAACGGGTTATTGAAGAACCTCAGGTCAAATGCCCTCCAAGCTTCGACCTCAAGCCTGAGCCAGTTGAAACTGGCGAAGGTGAACCGGCCAAATTCCTGGTCAAAGTCAGCGGCTTCCCACGACCCCGTGTGTCATGGTGGGTCAACGGGTCGCTGATTGTCGGGGTGAGTACATTTGTCGAATGTGGACATTTTCTCAAATTATGAAAAATACATATGTATATATATATAGTGACATTATAAAGTTCTATATTCACATCTCCCTGACGATACCACTGAAACATGAGACGCGGTTTCACCTCACCCCACCACTTAGACTAAAACATGTTTTTCATTTCCAGGGTACAAGATTCAAGGTAACGTATGATGGCATGATGCATTACCTGGAGATTCCACGTTGTCGTGAGTACGATGCCGGACAGATCCGTGTGGTCACCAAGAATCCTCAAGGTGAAGCCGAGACAAGCACATCGCTGACGGTTCTTCCAAAGGAGGACTGGCGAGCCAAGCTGAAGCAGGCACCCAAAGGTCGGCACATTGTACTGTACTGTCTGTTACTACTGTTATTTTTTTCGGAAAGCCTCCATGATCAAGTTGATAGACCAATTGCCCATCGAGCGGAAGGTCTGTGGTTTGATCACCTCGCTGAGCCATACCAAAAGATGTTAAAAGATGGTGATTTACGGGCTGTAGTGATAAAGCTGGAATATTACTGACCTTCAGGAACTCTTTCATATTCTGTAGTCAATGAGTCAACCTTTAAATTTTGTGTTGAAAATTACTTATTCATATGATATCCCTTGATCTTTCAGGAGAGCTTGAGATTGAACTTGAGCGTAGAAAGAAAATTGAGCTCCGTAGTGTGGAACTTGAAACAGCCTTTAAAAAGCCAAAAGCAACTGAATTTGAACTTCGCCAACTTGAAAAAGGTATGATTGAACTCTATCCTTTTGGTCTGAGGTTCAAATCTCAGAACCAGACTTTTTGTTACCATGACAAGTACATATATATGAAAATTTAAATGAATGTATGATGTTTAAAAAAATGTTTCCTTGTGTTTTGATGGTGAAGATGGGTACATATAAATAGTCACTGTGTCTGATGATGACCTTGCAGCCTCAGAGTCGAAGATCAAGATCCGCCGTGATGACGAGGTCGTCCTTGCGGAACAGCAGTACATCAGCGTGCACACACATCTCCAGCCAACCAAGAGGGATCTGGTTGCTGAGCATGCTCAGGCATTTGCTGTCCCCCCTCAGCCAATGATCCGGCCTGATCAGACCCACACCACTCAGAAGCAAGTGACCTTGGCCCAAGGGGAACCACCCGTGTTCTCTAAGCCATTGCGTCCAGTCCGTGTCACAGAGGGAGTGTCTGTCAAGTGAGTACAGAGATAACTTCTTACGTTTATTGGTATATACAACAGGGATGGAAATTAAGTTGAAAATCAAACAAGTCCACAGGGCTGGTGGGAGTTTTGGTCTGCTAGCCCTGCAAATAGATAGTAGTCCTTAAAGAATATACAACATCATTGAGCCCCAATGGCGTGGATCATTTGTCATAATATTAACCATTGGTTTACCTGGCCTTGACCTGATTATTTACAAGCTTCCCTGAAATAACTGATGAATAAAAATACATTCAATCGCGTTTACATGTAAGTCAGAATTAATCTGTTTTGTCATCTAAGTAGTTAAATGAATTTTTATATATGATTTACATTATAATTTATATGGTTTATTTGAATGATTGCCTTGATGTTTGGATGGAATAAAGTTCACTATCTCTCCTGGTATAATGACACCTGGTGTCTGCTCCCTGTTACAGGCTGGAGGTTCAGTTCAAGGGAAGTCCACCCCCTGTCATCACTTGGTACAGAGACAACTTCGAGGTGCAGATGTCCAGAGACTTCCAGGTGAGACGAACAAAACACCTGCCTTAAACTAGTGATTTTCAGTCTTGCATAGAAACAGGTGCCCATAAGGTACTGCAGAGCTGGGACCAGACAGTACATCTGTCTATGAATTTTGCACCCAAAATAATACAAACATTGATTTGTATTATTCTTAACATAAGAAGTTAGAGATCATGAATATTTTTAGGGATATATTTTTGAAGTGAATTTAATAAAATATCCCAAAATATTCATGTTCCCTAACTTTTTTGTTTTTCTATATGGTAGTCCACATCCCTTTCCACATTCCCTGATTTTGTCTGTAGTCAGTGTGTTATCATTACAGTAGTAATGGGTGTAGTTATCTCATCTTCTTCATCCATTCCAGATCACCACAACAGACAAGAGCAGCACTCTTCAGATTCCTGAGGTGTTCAATGAAGATGGTGGCATGTACACTGTGAAAGCCTATAACAAGTTTGGCATGGTCCAGTGCAAGGCCAAGATGACAGTTGTTGGTCAGTGCATATGTATCTTATAAGATCCTGTGTTTTCTAAAAACAGGAAGTAGCAGCTAGTTGGTTGGAAGCTAGAAATTGTGAAAAAAGGTTCAGTTCCTGTTACTGAAGTCCTTTGGTCCATACAAACTATATGGAGTTCTCAATGCAATAGAAAAGTCGAATGTAACTTTTAACATTCATGGACGAATGTTTCAAACTTAATTGATAATGGATGATCTTCTTGTTGCAGAGCCTGAAGAGCCCGAGAGAGTAGCCTCCCCTGAGTTCACAAGTTTGCTGCGTGACAGCTTAACCACCCAGGGAGAGCCCGCCACCTTCGACTGCCAGGTGTCCGCCTACCCCAGGCCACAGGTGTCCTGGACGAAGGATGGGAAGCCACTGTATGAGAGCAAGCGGTGGAAGTTCATTGCCGAGGACAACAACTACACTCTGGTCATCTATGAAGTCCAACCAGAAGATGCTGGCGTCTACGCCTGCATCATCATCAACACTGTTGGCAAGGCAACCTGTACCGCAAGACTCACAGTTGAATGTACGGGATGCTTATGTATATTAAAAAGGGTTTCGTTTTGATTATTATCCAAATGAAATCCCAGAGGATGTTTATTTTGATGATAGACTTGATATTTAATGTAAACTGTATTTAATTGCAGTATTTGTTTGAGTAGGAAGTCCACTTAGATGACGTTGACAAAAAGTTAATTGGCCTGTTGTTGTTGTTTAGTGCCAATCCACCCACCAGAGGAGCTGAAGCCTGAGGAGCCTTCTGTAGCCCCAGTTGTGCAGCAACAGCCCCAGCCCAAGGAAGTGGATGAGGGAGAACCTGTCACATTCACATGCAGGATCACAGGACACCCTCGTGAGTACAGCATTTGAATGGTGGTTACAGAGGAGGATTAGAATCACTCTAATCAGTGATGATGATGATGATGATGATTACTTTAATCAGTGATGATGATGATGATGCTTACTCTAATCAGTGATGATGACGACGATGATGATGATGATGATGATGATGATGATTACTTTAATCAGAGATGATACTATTGATAACAAAGGATAATGTTGATGGTAAACACTGAGGATAGTTTATGATGATGTGATGGTGATGATGATGTTGTAGAGTTCACATATGGCCCTATGTTCCAGCTCCTGTTGTGTCTTGGTACCGCAACACCCACCTGGTAAAGCAGTCCAAGTACTTCAAGATGGAGAGTACCCCAGACGGTCTACACACCCTCACCATCATGGAGGCCTTCCCCGAGGACAGTGGCACCTACAAGTGTGTCGCTCGCAACACCGGCGGAGAAGTCTCCAGTGTCACATACCTCAAAGTTCACGGTCAGTCTTCAAAACTTTCAAAATTGGTTTATGACATTAAACATTGAACAAAACTGTCATGGCTTTCATAGATTCATATTTAGTCACATTTGAGTGTTCCCTTGGGATGATCCAATGATAGAAGTACTGGAAGACCTCTCTAAGACATGCTTTATATTCCTGCAGGGATCGAGAGTGAGCCAGAACCCACTCAGCCCCAGGCTATGCCTCCAAGCTTCATCAAGCCAATTTCCAACACTCTAGTTGTGTCAGGCAGCCCAGCTCGCTTCGAGGCTGTCTTCTCAGGACATCCCACCCCCACAGTCACCTGGATCAGGAATGGCATCCAAACCATCCATGAAACTCGGGAGACTACTGTAAGTCAAATAGATCATATCATTGCGCTGTTTGGCTACCTTTTAATGAATTTTTGTGGATATCAATTTCTTTGTTGTTTCAATGCAACATTTCTAGCATCTGTATCAAAACGTTTTGTCAAAACAACAAAAAGTTGAAACCCAGAGGTAAACTGTTCAAATTTGGAATTTACTCTTTTGACTAACAGATATGCTTGTGGTTATTTATTTGTTAAAATATGTAAATAAAATGTTGAATTTGAAATACTCCATACACCATATTCATATCATTTAAAAGATGATGGAGGATGCAACATGGTCTTGAGCATGTCCAGTCCAGTTCAAATCATGGTACCTTGTGCCTTGTATGAACTTGAACAGGGATCAGTAAAGTAATCATTCACTGCTACAAACTGGAGTTTGGCAAACAGAGTGATTGTATGACATGTATAACACTTGCTGGGCCAGCCAATATGTCTGAGTGTTTTGTCTCCCTTTAAGAACATTATCCTTTTTGTTCTTGGTAAAGCAGAAATATACTTCACGAAATTGAAACTTTTTTTTTTATTCTAGATTGAAGTTACTGAGAGCATGACAACTCTGACTATTCGACAAGCCTTCCCAGAAGACAGTGGTCTGATCACGTGTCGCGCCAAGAACCCGGCCGGTATCTCGGAATGTTCCGCTGAGCTCTACATCCAAGGTGAGTGGCTGCCCTCATTTCTGCATCATGGTGCCCCTCTCTGCATGAACATCAAGCCAGGATTCTTGAGAAAACTTCTCCAATTGCCAAGAATTTTCTATCTTAATTTAAAATTGACAATGATTTCATTGTATTTTTGATAGTCTCCTTATCCTTTTGTAGCCATTTTATAAAAAACATACTGGTCTCTTTCTTGTATTTTCCTGGAGATCCCAAGCTGATCATGTTTGTGCGTTATAAAGAATGATTAAAGGTGCATGTTGGTGTTTTTCTGTGTGTGAGATAGATTAGGTATCTGCATGCTTGTAAGTGATGGAGAATAGACCTCAGCTGATTGCTTGCTTTTTAGTTTTTTCAAGGAATTTGATTGGTTGACAGCAAAATGAGAAAATAGTGTTGATTGGCTGGTTCTGTTTGGAGTGCATGAGATGGATTTTGAGGAGTGTGTGTGATTTAGAGAGTGTTTGTATGAAAAGCATTTGGAGAGATGTCCAGATATCAAGAACAGAAGAAATTTCTCGAGCAGAAGAGGAATGATTTGCATGGTTGAAACTAATTTGCATGTCCGATTTTACAGGTGAGAAATTATCAAAATTACTTTTAGTTTCAAATACTATGCATCCATTTCTGTTGAAATGGATGCATAAATTTGTTTATAATTGTAATATTTTTATTGCATTTCTGCCACAAAATGTGAAATTTGATGTTTTGTTTGATGTGATTGTAAATGCACACACAGTGTTTATTGAAACATTTTGTGTACATATAGTTCAAAAGCATGTAACCTAGCAACCTGTTTGATGTTGATGCCATAAATGTTGGTTTGTAATATTGACCATTGTGTTTGACCATCTTCTCCTTGACTAACATTTTGTTGTTTTGATGACTAACACTAGTGATTAGGAAAGTAGCTTTCTAGGTTTTTGACATTGAGCATGTGACAGCATGATGGAGGCACTATTGGGAGACGTTCAGCGTGTGTGAAATAACGTCCTCCCTGAGACCCCCGAATGAAGCATGTGATGTGTGCATTACGCCAACTATCGTACATGTGAGTGAATTTGTATCCTTCAGATCTGATCAAAGTCATACAGTAGAAGACTTGTATTGATATGTTTGAATCAATTTGTATGATATCAATTTTAGACAGATGTGTTTTGGCCAGTGCTACAGAATTACAATGTCAAATCCTGTGAATAAAATCTTTGCTCTGTCAGATTTGTATATACCTACACTCAGTCTTACTTGACAATGGTAAAAGGATAAACGCTGTTGTAATAGAATATTAAAGAAGTTGTGATCTATAAATTATGACTATTTCGGCCCACACTCAAGAATCAGTGTTAACGTACAATGATGCAATTTGTTTGTGAAAAGGTTGTACACATCCCGCCCTACTGGTAGAAAATCTTCTCTTTATTTGGGGGAATGAACACAGGAATGTCACAGAGTTTCTGAAAATGTTCGTTTTAATCTCAATATGAGGATTACACTGTTGCAATTTTCTTTGTAGAAGAGGAAGAGGCTCGGCAGATGGAGAAGCAACTGCACGTGGTGGTGTCACGGAGAGCGCCACCTGGTTTCACGAAACCACTGAAACCCTACGTGGAGGTGCGGCCAGGAGAAACTACAAGGTAGGTGCACTTAGTGTGGGGAGGTTGAGAAACTCATGTGTGAAGAATGAGACATTATAAGATAGATTGGCCTTATTCTAGTGAGAACGAGAAACTACAAGGTAGGTGGACTTAGTGTGGGGAGGTTGAGAAACTCATGTGTGACGAATGAGACATTATAAGATAGATTGGCCTTATTCTAGTGAGGACGAGAAACTACAAGAAAGGGTAAACTTTTTATAGAGAGGGTGAGAAATGACAAGATATAGTGGGCTTATTCTAGGTAGGACAAGAAACTACAACTGTTGGCTTATTCTTGTGATGGTGATAAACTTCAAGAACTACAAGATATGTTTGGCTTATTCGAGAGAGGATGAGAAACTACAAAATGTTATGGGTGTATTCCAGAATGTATCTATAAAACTGCAAGGTATTCCAGGGAAGGTGAAAACCAACATAAAAGTCCATGGTACACTTAGTGATAGGTTTCAGGTTGAACCCATTTCCAAGATAAAGCTCAAACAACTTTATCTTGGACATCAAAACATGTAACGATTGCTCTGGTGGTTTCATATGATCCTGTCAAGTAATCCATCATGGTTCTTCACCTGTTTTCTTGTGTCCTGTAGACTCGAGGCAGTGGTTGGAGACATCCCAGTCCTCAGGAGTTCCTGGTATGTGAATGGTATCGAGATTCACCCCACCGAGAGGACCAAGATTGTGAAGGAAGGCAAGACCCTGGTCCTGATCATCATCAGTGTCAGGCCGGAGGATGCTGGAGAGTACACCCTGAAGGTGGAGAACGAGCTTGGCCAGACCACCTGCAAGACAACGCTCGTCATGAAGGGTGAGATATAGCATCACTGCAATCATACAACATTTAGCAATCATTACTAGTATTTTGTAAAAGGATATACTGTAAGGACACTCTGTGGGCATTGTGGGATAGAACTGGTCCCCATCTTCATAAGAGGTGAATTTAGACTGGGTGGTGTTGTTGATTGTGTGGTATCATACCCAAGTGTGTTTAGTTGCTCATAATAGGAATCAATAGTTTGGCTGGTCACCACTTCATTATTTACAGGCTGCCATCATATATCTTGACTATTGCTGAGTGTTGCATTTAAACAACAAAGAAGCTTTTAGACAAATCTAGTGAAATACTTGAAGAAATAAGTGATGCATAAATGCATAAATTACTTGCATATTTCTCTGAGAGTTTGTGGCAGTGTCCCATATCAGAAGCTGAGTAATACAGACAACATTGGTAATATGTCCATTAGATGTCATTGTTTACTTCAATACTGACTGATTGAATCATATGTAGGTACTGAGAAGACAGTGGAGCTGCCCCACACCGAGGTGACCACCGAGAGCATGACAGTCACCAAGACAGTGACCACCATCCAGAGAGAGGAACAGGTCATTCTTCAGAAGGTCAAGCCAGTGGTTGTGACACCGCTGGAACCAGAGATCTATGTCAGGGAGAGAGGCATTGCCAGGTGGGTGCACTGTTCTCAGGATGAGATGTAGCATCTCAACTCACATCTTGATGGATTAAGCAACTTTCTCTATCAAGACCCTTCGATATGTACCATATTCGACGTAATAAGTGCCCCGCTCTAATAAGCGCCCACGGCGATATTTGCTAATATAGTGGCCAGTGAACAGCCCAATTAGCACCCCTTCCGATTGATCAATGTACACAAGACTTATTTATTCGCATATAATACGCACTCATGTGTTATATGCACACTTAATTATGGGCAATTAAATTCTGGAAAAATATATCTGTCGTACATAAACATTTCAGTCTGTCAGCATAAACCATGAAATTTATCTTTTAACTCTGTTTTTTTTCACTAAAATAATATTCCAATAAGAGCCCCTTATTTCTAATTTTGAGAGCGCCCTGGGCGCTTATTACTTTGAATACGGTAATCATTTTGTTCATGTAAACCACAAAATGACTTAGGTATTTCTAAAACAGTGTTATTTGATGATAACTTATTTTGATGCAGATGCTTGCATTTTAAACTCTGGAGCATGTCATAGTATTTCCCAGTAACTCTGCCTTTTGTGTGTATATAGGATCTTCATGTGTTTCCTTCCAGGCTGGAATGTTCAGTGAATGCCATTCCACCTCCGCTTGTCACATGGTTTGTGAACGGCATGGAGATCAAGCCCTCACCCCACTATGAGATCCGCTACGAAGACGGCAAGAGCACACTTCTCATCATCCAGGTCGGACCTGAAGACACGGGAGAGTACACCTGTAAAGCAGTGTCTGAAATGGGAGAGGCCATCAGTTCCACAACACTCTATGTACAAGGTAGGACATGTTAGCCATTAAAATTAAACTGAAATTCTTTTATATGTTTTACATGTTCTTTGCTCTTATTGCTAGCATGTACCTGCCAAATTACACATGTGACCTAAATTGTCATTGTATTATTGTTTTGAATTATAATTAATTATTTTGGACTAGAAGTGCCAGGATCTGCTGATTTTGGGTTTGAATCCCAGATTGAACCTGAAATTTTATGATTCTTGGCTTGTCTTCACAATGCCCATACTCACAGATTTTGACAAAGTGGTAAATTTCTACGATGATTTCATTACAATGTTTAATCATATATGGACTGAATCCCTTTAACCACATATATGTATAGAAATTGTGTGACTTCATGCAAAAGTGTTTAATGATCATGTTCCTTGTCCTACAGAACCAGCTACAGAGGAGCTAGCCCCGGCTGCCCCCGAGTCAGTTGCCACCATCGAGGTCTCCCCAACAGCTCCCATGACTCCACCTCAATTCGTTGAAGTCCTCGGCTCTGTGGAAGCCAATGATGGCCAAGAAGTCCAGATGGTATGCAAAGTCATTGGCTCTCCAATGCCACAGATCTCCTGGTTCCATGACAGCAAGAACATTGATGAAGATGAAGAGTTTGTCATCTCCTACAACCCAGACACTGGGGTGATCAGCCTCATCATTGTGGAAGTGTTCCCCGAGGACCAAGGACAGTACATCTGTATTGCCCAGAATCCTGCAGGAAGAGCCACTTCATCAAGCTACCTCAGTGTGGTAGAGACGGCTGTAGTGGAGGAAGAGGAGGTCACAGAGGAGATCACAGAGGTCGAGTTCACTGATGCCTTGCCTTGTGAAGAACCTATGGATGTTGAGAAACCCACTGAAATGACACAGGTTTCCGAGGAGCAGGTTGTTCCTCAGGTTATTGACAGACCAAAGGTGAAGCCTCTGGTTGAAGAAGAAACAATAGAGTCTCCTATTCCTGATAGCATTTGCTCTGACGTAACATCGGAACTGTATGAAACATGCCCTGAGTCTCCTATTTGTGATGAAGTTTTGGAAGAAATCACTGAGCC